GAAATCTTACATAAGATTTCATTGTAATTGAAAAAGAAACTTCATCATTATGATATTTTTGAAGTTTGCTTTGCTTTGACAGAAGGTTCAATTTTGTACAGCTCTTTTAGTAAGACTTTGCTCATTTTTTTTTGCTTTTTTATAATCAAACACACAAATAGATTTATTTAACAAAAAATCTAGTAAAAGAGAAAAGAATTTGGATGGTTTGGGACTGATCGGGGGGTAGATGTTGAGCTGATCGATTGGGGGAAAGGATAGAAAGGGAAATGAGTTGAAATTGATGGTATTCAATGAGATCAATAGCGATCTAAGTAGTCACGGAGAAGGGTTGGATCGACGACAAAGATTTCTCGACCTGAGGAGAGCGGTGACTCCATTGAATCTGAAATCGGAGAGATTCTTTTGTGGTGTTTGTGCTTTCTTACTGGGCTTTCTAACTTTCTTTTCACGGATTTTGATATCTTATCGTCTTGTGGCTATGTTTAGTACATAATATGTCAAATAATTGTTATTGTATTTGGTAAATAGAGGTAAATACGAATCCTGAGCTTAACCACTAGCATTTTAAAGCTGCAGGTACAAAAAACGATGATTAATTGTCAGTTTTAAAACAATTTAACTTAACTAAGTCAAAACCACTAATCAAAACCAGTAAACGCTTAAAAATATTGAGAAATATTTGCCAAAGATTTAGTGTTCATCAATCTTTGCTTAAAGACTAGAAATCAAAAAAGAAAGGTCCCGGGGAGATTCGAACTCCCGTCGCAGGATTCAAAGTCCTGAGTGCTAACCGCTACACCACGGGACCACACGTTTAACGGAGAAACTTTTGCTAGATAACTTTGTTTTTATTTATTCTTCATCAAATAAAACAAACCTTTCAAAATATCACTTCTCTTTCCGAAGCGAACCAATGAATTGATGTAAATAAAGGTTTAGTTTTAGGTTAAAAAGTAGGCAGATTTTGTTAAGGACCACATGTTTAAGGAAGAAACCTTTACTTGATAACTTTCTTTTTATTTATTCTTCATGAAATAAAACAAACCTTGCAAAATATCACTTCTCTTTCCGAAGCGAACCAATGAATTGATGTAAATAAAGGTTTAGTTTTACGTTAAAAGTAGGCAGATTCAGATTTTGTTAAGGACCAGATGTTTAAGGAAGAAATCTTTACTTGATAATTTTGTTTTTATTTATTCATCATGAAATAAAAAACAAACCTTTCAAAATATCACTTCTCTTTCCGAAGCGAACCAATGAATTGATGCAAATAAAGGTTTAGTTTTAGGTTAAAAAGTAGGCAGATTTTGTTAAGGACCACATGTTTAAGGAAGAAAGCTTTACTTGATAACTTTCTTTTTATTTATTCGTCATGAAATAAAACAAACCTTGCTTCTCTTTCCGAAGCGAACCAATGAATTGATGTAAATAAAGGTTTAGTTTTACGTTAAAAGTAGGCAGATTTTGTTAAGGACCACATGTTTAAGGAAGAAAGTTTTATACAAAGTTTTATACAAAGTTTTATACAAAGTTATCAACTTAGAAAGTTGATAACTTTGTTTTTATTTATTCGTCATGAAATAAATAAAACAAACCTTGCAAAATATCACTTCTCTTTCCGAAGCGAACCAATGAATTGCGCATTGCTCTCTTCTCGAAATGTCTGAATAAATAAAGTTTTTTTGAAAGGTAAAGGTAACCTAAGCTTTTAAAGGTTATGTACTTTTTGTCAATAGATTTTCAGATTTCTTTACGTAACTTTTTAGCCAAATAAGGTGATATTTTTATAGGTTTTTGAAGATTTTAATAGTTTTTTCTTACTTTTAGAGTGATTTATCAATACTTAAAGATTCAAGAAAGCAAAATTTTATTTAAAAATCAATCTTTTAACTACAGTAATCCTTGTTTAAAGCTTTTCTATAGCATTTTAAAATTTTAATATTTTCTATATTGAATAAAGGTTAAAAGATAAAAGGTTTAGTTTTAGATTAAAAAGTAGGCAGATTTTGTTAAAATTTTACTGTAAATGAAGAATTTGAGAAGTTTCACTTGTCGGCTGTACTTTTAGATTCAGCTTAAATAAATATGAAGCTGAATCTAATCTAATGTGTCTCTTAGCTCGCTCAGAAACCAAAGGTTTTCGACCAGTCGTTTTCGTTTTCGTCCTTTTTCTCTTTTTCTTTCAGATAATTGAGCTCTTTTTCAGATAATTTAGCTCAAAAACCATTTCTTTAAGGTACTCTGAAAAAATGCCAAGCCGACCGTCGCTGTCGGAAAAGGAAATTGGAATCATAGAGGCAATGAATCGCGAAGGACACGCAAATCGAGCAATGGGACGAACCGAACAGGCTCGGGTTTTTTAGATCATAATGAATCGAATTGTCGGATCCTATCTCGGTTAATCGGATTGTCTGATCCTCTACGATATGGAACACAAAAGTCGACTGGTCGAAAACCTTTGGTTTCTGAGCGAGCTAAGAGACACATTAGATTAGATTCAGCTTCATATTTGTTTAAGCTGAATTTACAGTACAGCCGACAAGTGAAACTTCTCAAATTCTTCATTTAGTAAAATTTTAACAAAATCTGGATCCAATAGTTTGGCTGATTTAATGATGATCTTTATCCAATCCATACAAAACCAATTTGATTCAATAACCAGACTCAAAATATTCTAGTAGGCTTGTTTTTAAGTTAACTTTAATCTTAAGTTGTCCTTATAACAGTAAAAGTCATTTTTATGAAAATCCTGAAGAAATTCTAATCTAAAATTCAATAAGCATAAAAAACTACGTTTTAAAAGTCTTTTTCAATCAAAATTTCGAAACACTTGAAGCTATATTCTTCGAGTTTTGTTTAAGACAAAGATTTCCCCGGAATTCACACCCAATTTTTCACTTTCCCACTTTCCCAATCACTCCTTAGGGAGTACTTTTTATCAAAAAAAAGAAAGCCGCACCGAGTTTTCCCCAAAATATAAAGAAATTTATGTATATCCAAAAAGAAATCAAATCAAATTTGCCATAAAGAATTACATTTTCACAGAAAACCATTATCGTTTTGCGGGGGAAATCTATATCCTGCTCTCAGTACTTGTTCTGCTCGTTCTGCTCTTAAAAAATGGGGAAATCTATAATTTCTGAAAAATCGAGGTTATTTTAGTGGTTAGAGAATGGAAAGGGCTATAGTTTCGTCAATGAATTCAATGTCACATCATTTAAACTAACTGTACTCTGTCTTCGATAATGGAAACCCTTTTCTAGTGCACTTAATCATCACTGACTATGGTGGCTTGGGCTAGTACTTCAGTACTTCGGGTTTAAAAATGTAATTGAGCTCAAGAATAGAAACAGGCTATCTAGCCAGTACTTGTTCAACTCGTCCTGCTCTCAGTACTTGTTCAACTCGTCCTGCTCTAAGTACTTGTTCTACTCGTCCTGCTCTCAGTACTCGTTCTACTCATCCTGCTCTCAAAAATTGGCGCACTTAATTTCTGTATCCCATTATAATCATTGAAAATCACTTTCAACTTTTTCAATGATTATAATGGGATACAGAAATTAAGTGCGCCAATTTTTGAGAGCAGGACGAGTAGAACAAGTACTGAGAGCAGAACGAGTAGAACAAGTACTATCACTTGCTAGATAGCCTGCTTCTATTCTTGAGCTCAAGTACATTTTTAAACCCGAAGTACTGAAGTACTAGCCCAAGCCACCATATACTTTGTGTTCAATATGGAAACCATCTTTCTAATCAAACACCACTTAAGTGCTCGTTTCTCTTGGAAATCAATTTCAGCCATTGCACCAGATAGTGTGCATTACCATGCAGAACACACAGAATACCCCAAACGTCATGGCTAATCTTTATTTAAGTCTTGGGAAAGGTTACGAACATATAATGTGAGTGTGCTTTAAGAATTCATGGAATGGGTTTTCAATGGACAGAAAAGACGTCAATTTATCAAAGAAAAAAAACAGAAAAAGACCGGAAATTGAAGGAATTTCTCATTGGCCTGTTTATCCGGATTTTGGCTTTAGTAGTAGCTTTTTAAGAGGCATTTTTTGATATTTGAGAAGTTCGATTCCACCCTTCAATGAAACAATTTCATAGTTTACGCTTTTTTTTTCTAAGATTCATTTAACGTATTTGTTTTGTAGACTAAAATCCAGCTATAGTTTATAACTTTGGTTTAGTTACTCAAGAAATCATAGTGAAAAGCGTTAACTCATTTACTAATAGTATTAGGTTGATGCAAAAGTCTTTTTCATTTTTTTCGTACTTCCGTTAAAAAGTAACAAATGCACCAATTGAACAACGGTTTATTGCATTCGAAAGGCCAATTATTTTTCTGCAAAATGACATTAAAACGAGTTTAAAATGTCTTATGTCTAGATTTTTTGAGGCCTGATCGGGTAGTCAAAAAGGCGACGGCTCGATGATGCATTTTCGCTTTGCTAAGGAAACCAATCTTGATGTTAATAAATAAAAGATAGAGCACAAAAGTTAGATATTTTTTCAGATTTTCAGAGAAATTGATTTAGCCAACTTTAGAGGTTTTATAGATTTTTATGAAAAACCCGTTTTCACTCTCGAATTTGCTTGAAAGTGAACCCAAATTGACTTAAAAAGATGGGAAATTGAACAATAAACACTTTTCATTTAGAGCAAACCATAGGTTAATTGATGACTTTGTTATTTTTCAAAAGAAGTACGAAAAAAATGAAAAAGACTTTTGCATCAACCTAATAAATGATGTGTTATCGAGTGTTGATCTTAGCAAAAGATCTTAACAAAAGACCTTAGCAAAAGACCTTAGCAAAAGAACTTAGCAAAAGATCTTAGCAAAAGATCCTAGCAAAAGATCCATTCTCGGTAATGAATTCGGCTTGAATTCAGGAAATGTATTGGAAAACAAATTAAAACTTTTACTTTTTAAAAAAGGCAGTCTTTAAAGATCTAATTTAAGACTAGTTTTCTAGTATCTTAAACCAAATCTAACATTTTTTTTGCTCCAGCGATTGCTCAAACGTTAAAAAAGATTTAGAAACTAATAAATCGTTTAATTTAGTTCTCTAACAAACTAGTAAAATCTTATTTTGAAACTAGATTAAGATTCAAATCATTCCCTACCTTGGGTAAGCAAAAACAGAAGAGATAGCAAGAAGGCCAAGGAGAAAGATGAGGAGCGATCGGAGAGGAGCCATCCGGATGAAGTGATGAGATGGGGTTGAAGGGAAGCTGGATGGGAAAGGGGAGGGGAAGCGGAGGGGAGGGTTCTCCTTCTCCTTCATCTCACAATGGGTGGAGCCTTTTCTCTGGAAAACCCTTCAATGCCAGTAGCACAAAAGCTTTGAGCGGCGTAAACTTGTGTCATTTGAATTCAATGAAGTTGCTTTCATAAGTTCTGATCCTTGAGGAATCTCAGTGATGTCATGAATTTGCCAACAAATCGAAGAATTGAGAAAAACTGGTGAATAGCGTCTAGATGGGAACAAAGATGGTTAAAATTGGATTTTGAACGGCATTTGGGTATTGAAAGGAATGATTCAAAGATCGCTAGAGATGAAGCAGAAGAAGCGAAGAAATTTTGAGAAAAGTCAACATCATGGAAAGCTGAGATTTAGATTTAGACTTGAAATGCTAAGATTGTTGAAGAATGAGTAGTTCTGTATTGTCTAGAAGTTGAAGAGCTTCACTAGGCTTGAAATTTGGAAAGATATTGCTCTAGTGGTAAAAGATATTGCTATAACCAGTACAAAGCACACTTCTAGATTAGCTTTACTTAGATTCTTTCTGATTTTCTTTTGAGAATATACTTTTAAATCCTTTACTTAACTTTCTATCGCCCAACTGTAGCAAATGTACATGTATAGGAGTTGACTAAAGAAATCCTCCTCCCACGAGCTATTGAAATCCGATACAGCTGTGCATACTCAGCTTTTCACTTTTAGAGAAACGATGCTAGTAACTCTATTCAATTCAAAGTCATCACTTCAAACTGATTTCTGGAGCCTTTTAAAGGAAAAGATCACTGTCTGAAGTTAATTCTCTTTAATAAAACTAGGCAAGCTAGACAAAAGTTAACTTTTAAGTAATTTCTCACTAAAGAACGCCTTCTAACTTCTAACTAAGTTAACTTGCAACTAAGTTAACTTGCAACTAAGTTAACTTGCAACTAAGTTAACTTCTAACTAAGTTAACTTGCAACTAAGTTAACTTGCAACTAAGTTAACTTGCAACTAAGTTAACTTGCAACTAAGTTAACTTGCAACTAAGTTAACTTCTAACTAAGTTAACTTCTAACTAAGTTAACTTCTAACTAAGTTAACTTCTAAAGTGGGATATCCTGTACTCTATATTGTATACCACGGTGGTCATGGTGGTCATACTGTAGATGTATAAGCGTTTGACTTGATTAGTTCTTGACAATAAATCTTAAAGGGGGTACTCCGGCCTCAAAAGTGATTTCCTACAACCACAACTTTTTAGTTATGTATAATTTTAAATTATAATATTCATACAGTGTTACTTTGAAATGAAATTTATGAATTGAATTGCATGAATGCTTTAGAAATTGTGTGTTAGCTCAACGTAAAGACTTTGTTACCGTATTTCTTCGAATAGAAGACCGGGTAAAGAGTATGATCGCGTACTCCTGCGTAGCAGCCCTTTTTAGAATTTCTTTTCTGCATAAAAGCTTTCAATGAAATGCTATAGAGCTGGAAAATGGCTCAAAAATCTGTTAGCTCATGTGGTATTTTTGAGTCATTTTCCAGCTCTATGCACTTCATTGAAAGCTTTTATGCAGAAAAGAAATTTTAAAATGGGCTGCTACGCAGGAGTACGCGATGATACTCTTTACTCGGTCTTCTATTCGAAGAAATACGGTACTCTCTTTTCGGACTCGTGTCTCGGTTGAACAGATGTCGAACCTGAAAACCAATGTTGCTACAATTAAAGGGGGGCCTCAAAAGTGTTTCCTAGAACCACAACTATTTGTATATCAATTTGCGCGTTTCAGTCTCCTCTACAAGAATTCCATAAAGAAAAACCATGAAAACACTAAAAATCCCGGAAAAACTATGAAAAACTGTCAAAAAATGCAATGTGACGGACTCAGTACATATGTCGTAGCCGATTATGGATTTCAGCCGATTATGATTTTCGCTAGCGAAATCATTTGATTCATAATCGGCTACGACATATATAAGAGAATTAATTCTACCGAAGTTTTCGTCTAGACTACGGTAACAATTTCTCGATAATAACCAGCAAAAGACCGTTAAAGATATTCAGCTAACCAATTGAAAGTTAACTAGCGGTTTTTTTTGAGGTATTTAAAGAGTTTTTCTTTCTTTTCTCACTTTTGTCACCTTTTATTAAGTTTTTCGCCTTTTCTACCCCTTCTTTATATCTTTTTTTTTCTTTAACACTCTTTAGCACACATAATAATGAGTTCCGAAGAAAAAAGTTTCTAGTTGATTGTTTATTAATTGTGCTTGAAAGATATTTAGGAAAATAGTTTTTTGATTTCAATGTTCTATATCTACAGATCAATAAGTTGTTTAAAAAGTATTCAGAAAATTATACTATCAGTCAATTCGTATCAAAATTTCCGCAATTTTCAATGATTTTCAAAAGGTAAGACGATGGGAAAGTATTAATCAAAAATTTGGCTTTTTCCTTAGCTTTCGTTAATGTTAAGCTTTCGTTAAGGTTAATAATTCTACATACCCGTAAGGGCCTTGGCCTCAGCTAATCGATTTTTGAAAAATCTAATGAGAAACAAAAAAGCAAAAGTCACGAGAAGGGTTCGAACCCTCGAGGACTGGGCTCTTTGGCATGAACACTAACTATTCGGCCTAGTCAGTAGCGAGTGCTAGCCGCTGAGAATGGCTTATAATGGTTCGAAGCGAAAATCGGATTTCGCTGAGGACCGGAATACCCATTTAAAGGTTCACTTTGGTGATCATCACTTCATTTGGACTTACATGCTGGTATTTTACATTACCCAGATGATGTCAAAAAAAGGTGTTTGGCTTTTGTTTTAGCTCTTAAATCTTTAGTAACTGTTTAAACAGTAGATTCTCATGAATTCAATGTAAAATGAAAGGTGAATAACCTGTTAGAGAAGCCAAGATATAGTTGTATACCCTTTTATTAGAGTTTAGTCTTTCGTCAATCTAAAGTCCTTAAAGTTTTCAATTCGATGCTCAATCATTTGTCAAATCTGTAGCTCCCAGAGTTGTCTAAATAGTTTCACCTTATCTTCACTACATTATTGCAATAGACACTTTTAAACCTTACTAATTACGTGATTTCTATTCATGGACTTTATATCTTTAAGTGATTTTTGTGGCCCTTGTGTAAAGTTGTGGTTTTAGAGCATCAAGGGGAAATGTCAAGCCCATCCACCGCAGAAATCCTCTGTTTTTGACAATTTAATCAAATTTCCTATATACTTTTCGTAAAGAGAAGTTCAAAAAAGATTCCTACAAGATAAAAGGATTTTTCGTCAAAGAAAATTTTTTGACATCATCAAGTTCAACTCTAAAAAAAAACAAAAACCGGTGACTCACGAGTCTTACATTCTACAGCGTGCCTTAAAGTTTTAAAGTTCAAGTATAATTATTGGAAAATTAAAGTTTAAAGGGTTTAAAACCGTACTCAAGCACAAAATATTTGTGTTGTTTTCTATTGCACTCAAATTTCATATCTTACTTGGGTTTCTCTAGCCCTTTCGATGCATAAATTCTTTAAAAGAGACTCCGCACAAGCAGAAGTGTTTGTTGGACTGGATATACTTGGATGGTTCTTGAAAAGTTTACGATCAAAAGTTGACCCTGAGTTGAGTTGAACTTGATGCCCATTGTTGACTTGATCTTTCAAATTCTCATACAATTTCTCAACAATCGTCAACTAACAATTGCTGGCAACAACCTTTATCCTTCCGGAACTCACGGAATCATACAACCTTTGGGCTAATTGAGAGGCATCATGAATAGCTTGTGATACAGCATAAAATGTTAGCTACAACTGAACTACAACTACTGAAAATATTGTGATAACAGCATGAACTTACTTTGAAGTTGTTGCTGAGTGAGCATGTTCTTGGATTTGATCAACGGTTCGATCTAACGCTTGCAAGATTGCGGCATCGTCGCTCGAGAAATCACAACTTGAGCCTTCCACTTCAGTATTTGATGTGCATGAGAAAAGAGTCTAAATAAAGCAAAATTGTTAAGAAAACTATTGAATTCTAGGAAAATTCTTACTACCTGAATAATGTTCATCTTCTTTTCAGTAGCCAGTTTTCTTAGCTTCGGCAAAGATTTTGGGGCAATCGTTTGAACGTAAACGGAAATCATCCAAACATCTTTGAGCGAGTCAGCTGAGAGGATTCCACAAAGAATGGTGAAACAGTATATCTAAAAGGTACAACTGAGATGAAAACAGCTGATAACAGCTGATAACAGCATGAACTTACTTTGAAGTTGTTGCTGAGTGAGCATGTTCTTGGATTTGATCAACGGTTCGATCTAAAGCTTGAAAAACTGCGGCATCATCGCGCGGCGAGAAATCCTCACAACTTGAGCCTTCCACTTCAGCATTTGATGTGCATGAGAAAAGAGTCTAAATAAAGCAAAACTTGTTAAGAAAACTATTGAATTCTAGGAAAATTCCTCTACAAACCCTACCTGAATCATTTTCTTTCATCTTCTTTTCAGTAGCCAGTTTTTTCAACTTCGACTTTGGGGCAATCGTTTGAAGTAAAGGACAAGCCGACCAAACATCTCGTTGATCGAGTGTAGTTGAGAGGATCTCGCAAAGAAGCTCGAGTTCTAGACTCTATATGTTTGCGTTTCTTCTGACAGCAATAAAGCTTTCTTGAAAGCCTTGATGTTCGTTGAAGCTCTGTTATCCAAAAACCTACTACCAAGTACAAACAAGTAGAAAGGTCTAGTTGTTGGATTTAAAAACTTTGTTAGGTTTAGATCACATAGCTTTCGTTAGTCTATGTAAACTTGTTAGAATTAGAGTATTGCCACGTCTTTAGCAATTCAAATGAAATCGATTCGATATCGACTCCAAAAGTCTCATCAATCCAGTCAATCTCATCGTTCTCTTTCAGCCGCACATCGGATTGATAACTTTGAGAATGGTAAGTGACTCGTTTTCTAAAATTTCTTTTGTTTTTTCAATTTTCTTTTCTCACTTCTCCATTTGGGCGTCTTTTTGAGAATTTCTCAAAAGCTTCTTGCGAAAAGGCTAATTGAAGATCCTTCAATTTGATCTTTTTCGCAGATTTCTCATCTTGGCAACTTTTCAGAAAGGAGAGAATCTAAAAAGTACAATGGAATTAGCATTATGGATGTACTTTGTATTCATTTGTACAATGGAATAAGCAGTATGGATGTACTTTGGACTCATTTATCTTCATGAAAACATCCACTTGACATCAGTTTTACTAGGTTCATTGAAGTAAAACAAAGAATTTTAGATCATCGGAAAGTTGAGTAACTTTTTAATGAGCAAATCAAAGTTTTATTTAACGAGCGATATTTGAAATTGGGGTACTTTGAAAGAACGAATGCCAGTTGAGCGATTTGAAAAGTATTTTTTCATCGACCGTTGAACGGTGAGCGAGATTAAATCATTTTTTTGAAGCCTCCATTGCCGAGACTCTCTCAAATTTCGTAATTAATTGTAATCAATCTTAAGGAAAGTTCTACTTAAAAACATTTTATATTTTATTTCTTTTTTTCAGACATAAAAACTTGTTAAAACTGGGTGTTTAACATAAAAATATAATGTTTATGCACTCAATTTAGCAATTTAGTAAGTAAGAAAAGTCAAAATCAAAAGAGAAAGAGAAAAAGTCAAAATCTTACCATGTTGTAAGGTTATTGCTACAAAAAAAAATGCGATTTTGCTCAAAATCTGCAAATGGTTCTCTTTTCAGGCAGAAAGACGTAATTGAAAATTGATTGAAATTGAAATTGTAATTGAAATTGTAATTGATTAACGTAATTGAAAAACTTTTGACAAGCGACTTCTTGCTTTTAGAATGAAAGTTTTAGCAAAACAAGAAATCCACTATATTTGACTTTATCAAAAGCTTTAGATGATCGTTTAGATTTGTTCTTTCATTGCTCTTTCATTGCTCTTTCATTGTTCTTTCATTGCTCTTTCAGGTTGCTCAGGCTCAGGCTTAGGCTAAGGCTTAGGCTTGGACTTAGTGCGAAGGCTAGCGCCTCACACTAGGTCTATTTGGGTTTGGGCTTTAGGCTTAGGCATAGGCTTAGGCGCCTATCCAATTTTCATCTCTTTCATTGAATCGTTTCCTTGCTCTTTCATTCAATGAAATCTATTATCGAAAAGTGAAGAAATATCCATGGATTCAAGTTGGAGTCATTCAGAATTTCAGGCTCTGATTCTGAAGTACTCAATCTTCCTGAATGAGTCACGCTTTTGATGTGTTTCGAAATGGAAAAAGTGTTTAAATTGCAAATTAATCTACATATTTTCTTGTAAAAAGCGTGGCCACATTGTGTCGAATGAACGCCCCATCGAAATCATTGAACAAATCAATGAGACGTCACACCATCACAAATAAAAATACTATTGATAAACGTAGAATTTTCTCTAGCTATTGAATATGTTATCAGGTTAGAAAAATATAATACCTGAGGGAAATTTTTAACTCTTTAAGCTTACGTTAACCCCTTAACCAGCATAAGGAGAAAAGCATTTTGTTTTTTTGAATAAAAAGCATTCCCGATGGATTTGGGTACATGAAATCGAGAGTAATCATTACTTTTGCCTGAGTCGTTGCCCGGGTTTTTTTTTCTGTTACCGAAGGGGAAATGAGATCTTTTTGTAACTTGATGAAATCTTTGACTAGAGTCTTGTGATTCCTTTTGGGGATAAATGGGTGGTTAGATTTGATGTTTTTTTGGTTTGTATTTAGGTTTGAAAGGTCAAAGGATTGTGTAAGAATCTCAAAACGGTTTTTACCAATCGATCCGTCTTGAATTCAGCTTTAGGATGAGCTATAAAACGTCAAAATTGGACAAATTTAAGGTACTCTCCCAAAAAATCGGAAAGGACTTTTCCACCAACCCAATAGGTTTGAAAGGTCAAAGGATTGGGTTGATATTTTATTGAAATACCAGGAGTTGTCTACTATCAATTTGTGTGGTGAGAGGATGTTGTTCTGGTGAGTGCGGTTTTTGGTGTCATCAATGTGGAATCAAAAATATTTGTTAGATATTTAAGCAATAAACTTTTGTCAAAAGGCGATATGTCTTTTCCAAAAAAAATACAAATATGTGATTTATTTTACATAAAAAAAACCGATTCTGAAAGAGATTCAAGAAATTGACAAAGTTTTCCTTCTTTTGTTTATTTCTTTGAACTGTGGTTCAACTTGTTTCACTTCTTGCGATGCGATTTTCGATTTAACTTGATCCAGTAGATAAATTGTGACAAGACTAAAACTTTCTCTAATTAAATTCGAAAATTTTCATTAACCCTTGAAAGCAATGTCCCAACGAATTTGTGAGCAAGTTTCCAAAATAATAGAAAAAATCGGAAATGACAGTGTCTGTAAAACTAATAAAAACCAATGGACCTATCACATAAACAAAGGTGAATGGGACGTTGTTGGCAATAATCTCAAATGTTATTAAATTTATAGAGAAATTGATAAAATCCTCTCACCTGTGCCAGCAGAAAGCGTTCACTTGTCTGATTGACGGTCCGGTTTGTTTTCTAAATCATTAAAGCTTTAGTTTTATCTTCTAAAAATCAAACCAGAATTCGGTAAGTTAGCATAAAATCGAGAGGAATCGAAGCGGCAAAGGGAACGATTTGGGCAATGGTGGCTAAACGTATTTTCTAATAGAAATTAAGGAAAAATCTTTTATGTCTGCTTTGATTTAGTATTTTTGATGAAATTAGCCTTGAATTATTTAGATTTTATTTATTTAGATTTTGCTTTTGCTTCACAGAAAGCCTTATAAGCAAGCCTTCATTTCCTTACCTTTCCAAATTTCAAGAATGCACAAACATTGATCAAGCAGCTTCTTCTGAATGATTCCCATTACAACAGGAACGCCAACTTGAATCCACGGATATCTCTGCACTTTCCGATAATAGATTCCGTTGAATGAAAGAGCAAGGAAACGATTCAATGAAAGAGCTGGAAATCGGATAGGCGCAATTTGTTTTCGGTTCTGCATAAGTCTTTACAATTTTTTCCAGATTTTTGTTTCCATGGAAAAGAATCCCTTATCAAATTTTTTGGGGTCCTAAACTATTAAAAAAGTTTATCATTTCCCTAAAAATAGCTTTTGAGAAATAGCTCAAAGCTCGTCTCAACTCGCTAAGAACGCATTTTTGTGTAAAATTTTCAATAGCTGTTTTAAAGAAAATGGCTGAACGAATCGTTTTCAAATTTTACAGATTTATGTAATCAAATAAGCTGAGATAAACTAGCTCTATCTTTTTCAGCTAGCTAAGCAAATAAGCTAGCTCCATCTTTTTTACTTTGGTACTAAAATAGGTTTGTATTGAAGAAAGTGTCAAAATTTCGACTTTAGTATCGGAGTAGTTTTGGGTACTCGCTTTTGTGCCTTTGAAAATCCACAAAAACAACTATTTTCAAGAATTTCTCAAAAGCTATTCTGCAGAGAAACAATTAACCTTTTTAATAGTTCAAATAGAAATTATGTTGGTGGTGGTATTGTTTTTCAAAAACGTTTGGGAAAAAAAATTGCAAAGACTTATGCATCATACTAATAATTACACTATGATCTATTTTGAGAGAACAATTCGTACCGACTTGCAGGAATCCTGAAATGTGCAAAAAAGGACCGAGAATTGCGATCGACCACATGTAGACATCATTCAGTAGACCGTCACAATGGATGAATGAGAAACTAAAGTAGCACTTTATTATTTTGATTTCTATTTTAAGCTGAAAAAGGCAACTCTTTTTGCTTCAACTCTTACAAGTTCGGGAAAACACAATAAAATGCAAGGCTGAGAAGTGCAGAATAGAGACATCTAGCCAAAGCATCAGTGCCCAATAACAAGAGAATCACTTTTGAAAGCACTCGACTTTTCCAGCAAAACCAGACACTGATTAGATTGATGAAAATAGAAATTATCGAGAACTAAAGTTTATCAGATTAGAAAATAAACTAAAATCGTTAAATACCGAAAATTGAATGCAAACGATTGCAAAATGAAGATCGGCAAAGCGATTTGTTTTGTTGATTGTCTCAGAAATGTTGTTAATGTTTGGAAAAAGAAAGTAGAAAGCTGATAAAATACCTGAATTTGCAAAATTTTCAACCAAAAACTTAGTGAATGTTACCGTTGATTAAGAAGAATGTGATCAAAATGAGAGCGATCTCTTTGCAGTAATCGATTCTTGAGATCTCATTTTGTGGCTGCTTAACAGTTTCTTTTGGAAACATTTTTTTGAAATGATTTAAAACTTCAAAAAGTTTCTTGATTTACCACGACCTTATAAGAGCAATTTGTACCATCAAATTCTGAACCCATTAAGTGCAAATTCTGGCCCAGAAGTCACAAATTTGAAGATTTAACGGTGCTAATTGCTGGTTGCTTGAAAAATCGGTACTTTGCAAAAGGAGATCAACTTCAGGAAACTAATTGGTACCAAAATGTGTCAAAAAGCAGACTGACTACGTGCTTTATTTGTAAAAATCACTCACTTGAACCGTAGTTGAACGAAAACACAAAGTCGAACTTTTAGAACGTATTCTTCATCTACTCAGCGCACTCGATGGCCATCAATTTTGTCTCGATGTTAAAAGATCGTTTCTTCTTTCGATCCGGTCCATCCAATTCACTCGACGGCATCCTAAATAAAAGTTATAGCGAAAAAAAATGCGAAAGTAAATACAAACAAAAAAGAAATGATCATTAAACATTAAACGCTAAATCATGACAATTTCGAAAGTTTTACGCTTTAGATCGCTCAAAATTGAGAAAAATTATACGCCACCTATTCAAATAAGTTCTCGATTCGGTTCAAGCCTTATAAGAGCATTTGTACCATCAAATTTTGAATCTATTGAGTGCAAATTCTGCCACGAAAGTCACAAACTTGAAAATTTGAGGGCACTCCATGTAAAAACTATAAGGCACCGCCAATTTTTTCAAAAAAACAGCTTTCCATACAACTTTTGACTAACGTTTGATTATTGTTTTAAAAAAAAAGCAAAAAAATATTACCTTTTGCATCAAAAAAAGAAAATTAATTTTTTAAAGTACGAGATTTGGCAAAAAACGCTTTTACATATTGTCTAGAAACTATAACGCTTTTATTTAACGTGTAAAATGAATAAATTAACAACAAAATAACAAAAGAAAAACAACATTTAATAATGAGTTAATCTATTTCCCTGTTGCTGCAAAACAAAGTTTCGAAACAAAACAGGTTCTCCACAAAAAAAAGCGTTCTTTCGTTATTTACGTCTATTTTTCGATTTTTGACGTAAAACACACAATCTTTGTTCATTATGAGATAATTTTCCGGGAGTGGTACAAATGCGACCTTTTTTTGCGCACCCGGACATTTGCGCACCTTACCCATTAGCGCACCTTTTTTCGCGTTTTAAAAAAGCTCTAAAAAGCTAATATTAACCAATTTCTATTCCAAAAGTTGTTTTTCTAGGTAATTTTAGGGCGTAGAATCGAAATTTTGGCATAACAGAGCGTGTGGAACCACTTTGAAAGACAAAACGGCTAGATCAAATTACAGAAATTTCAAATTGTCGATTTTTCTCTTTGTATAACACCGTCCGTTTGTTTCCACAAGCTCTGATATGTTAAAATTTCGATTCTACGCCCTAAAAGTACCTAGAAAAACAACTTTTGGAATAGAAATTGGTTAATATTAGCTTTTTAGAGCTTTTTTAAAACGCGAAAAAAGGTGCGCTAATGGGCAAGGTGCGGAAAAAAAGGTGCGCAAATGTCCAGGTGCGCAAAAAAAAGGTCGCATTTGTCCCACTCCCATCTTTGTTCATTATGAGATAATTTTCCATGTTCTTTGACCGTTTTTTTACCTAACTTTCCCGTTTTGGAATGTTTTATTGTTCCCATGTCAACGGAATGACCAAAGATTTTACAAAATTCTAGTTGATTTTGAATTTTAAAGGTTTACTTTGATTCTATTTCTTATTTACTTTAGATTTACTTTGCTTCTTTTTCTATCATTTAAAGAATGCGACAGAGCGTTGATCTAAAGGCTTTGCTAAACTTCGACGACAATGATTTCGGAGTGTTTCTCAGTTATTTTATTGTGGGTTTAAAACTATGTTTAAGCCAATTATACAAACAAAAACGTTTTTTTGATAAAACTCGCCGCTTTTCAGCTCACATTGCTATGTTTCATCTACAATTCGATAGCTGCTTGTGTTGTGCAGGAAATGGTTAAATTTTCGACAATAGCATGTCGCCTATTGACACTTGAGCAATTGTTGCGAATCGGAATGTGCACAATTTCGATTTTTCACCTCTATTGGTTCATCGAATCTAGGTGAGTCTAAATTTATTCTATAAATTTGAAATTTGTACAAAGTGTAACCACTTTTTTCAGAAGCAATGAAATGATCGATCAGAAAGTGCCATGGATTGTCGAAGCGATTAATTTAATAACTTCTACAGTTTTTGTCGGATTGTACTACAGCATCGTACTGGTTGAGCTATTTCTCAGTGTTCAGCGTTATCGTGATGTCATCATGAATGAGATTCAGGAAAAGGTTTGACAAATTGATATTGGGTACTTCTGCATCTTTGCCCCGCCAACCAAACAGCATAAATGGATAAATGAAATAGTTTGAAATGGATAAAAGCGTTCTCAAAAAGACTAGATTGATAAATTTGAGCCTTTCGAAGACTTAGAATAATTTCATTCGAGGCCGACTCGGAGCCGATTAAGGGCCGGTTCGGAGCCGATTAAGGGCCCGTTCGGAGCCGAATAGGGGCCGATTTGGGGCCGATTTGGAGCCAATTAAGGGCCGATTCGGATCCGATTAGGGGCCGACTCAGAGCCAAAAAGGGCCGATTCGGAGCCGATTAGGGGCCGATTCAGAGCCAAAAAGGGCCGATTCGGAGCCGATTAGGAGTCGATTCGATTCCGATTCGGTGCCATTTCGTGATCTTAAAATTGTTCATCTCTTTTCTTTGAGATTCACTAAATCATTTGATTGTTTAGTATCATGTAGTCTGAACTGTATAAAAGCGTTCTCAAAAAGCCTATATTGATGAATTTTCAAGGGCCTATTCAAAGAGGTGGAACATTTTCAATGTCCATTTCAGCGTAAATTTTCTCCAGAATGTTTCTAGCTTTATAAAAATAAGGGAAAAAATAGTAAAAATAATTTTATTATGTTTATCTTCATTAATTCTAGCTTAAATCTATTCAAAAACTATATTAAAACTAAGAAAAAACTAGTTAAAACTCAATGAATTCAATGAAATGAATCAAAGATGAATTTTGCATATTAATATGCAGAATTTTTTTGATATTGTTACAATAATGTTAAATAGAATTAATTTTTTAATAAAAGTATTTAAATTTAACTCTATTTTTCATTTAGGAGAAAACCTCTTCTCATCATTTCCCCATCTGGACAGCTTTATTCCTACCAACTGGGATTTTACTAATAATTCAGTTCTTTAAAGGTTACACATCTTTTTTTCTTATATTACTTTAAATTAAGAGGAGAAACTCCTTTATGATCCAATCAGTTCAACTGTTTACTCACATGGATCTTTCTGGCAATCCATTCTATTCTCTCTTCGTATCATTTCAATAGCTTTAAATGGAATCTGTCTATTTTATGATTATAAAGTGATAAAATTCTCGAAAAATCATCTGGTGGAGTAAAAGGAATGCTTTTATAATTGCAACGATTTTTAGGAAGTATCAGGAAAAGATGATCAATCGGTCAAAACGAGGAGACGTTTAGCGACACTGGTCAGTGAAATTGATTGTATTGGGTTGGTGAATTGAAAACTACGGGACTTTGAACTAAAATTGATTCGACATAAAACCATGAATTCATTCCAAATAATTTCCATTATTATTGACGACTTCTGACCATTTTACAGGCAATTTGCGGATTCCTCTTTCGTAGTAGGATTTTGGTTTTGAATCGAAAAACTTTCAAAGCCAATTTTTGACTGCTTCTTCCGAATCGAAGTCTTCTCCCGCAAGCTCATGATCCAGAATAAATATTAATCAAAAGGGGAGAGGTCCGGACTGTATGGGGAATGTGCCAAAAGTTCCCCAAACAAGGCTATTTATTTTAGAGCGAGTCAGTTTTGCAATATGAGGGCGCGCGTTATCGTGGATGAGAACGATCTTTGACTTGGAGGGCCTATTCTTCTTCAGGAATTCATTCACCTTTCCCAACTTTCCACTGTATTTGATTGCAATTAACGGTCGTGCTATCCAGCAACTCCCAGTACAAGTGTGTGAGACAAGTGTGAGACTCAAAAATCGAGGACTGGAGATGTGCCAATGTCCCAGTTTGAGCACTTTCTTCAAAAGAAACCCATTTTGGTGTCAATAGAAAAGTTGTAGAGAATCAAAAATTAGGCTTATAGCCAAATTTCCAAAAAGATACACTTAGTAGTTCCGCTTAAAATGCAAGTTTTGTGAAAATTCGTAAATTTGAGCGTTTCTTGAAAACCAGTTTTTGAATCGTTCTGAAAATCTGGATATAAGCTTGATTTTTGATTCTCTACAACCTTTCCATTGACACCAAAATGGGTTTCTTTTGAAGAAAGTGCTCAAACTGTTACATATGACAATAGCCCGCAGTTTTCAATTCACCAACCCAATAGTTTAAGAACTTCAAGTCATTTCTTTGTTTAGCTAATCGTTAGAGATATCTGGATGGGCCTTTCATTTTTATTATCCATCGTTCTTCCATTTGTTTTTGAAGCTTTCTCTCTTCAACAATCTCTCACATTGTACATTGCACACGGTGCTGTGCCCGTTTTCTTTCGAGCTATCACTGGGTTTGTTTTTTCAAATTTAAAGTAAACTTTTTAACATTTAAGTTTATTTAAACTGGAGTTAAGAATGAGTTTCAACGAAAAACTTCAACAATTAAAATATTTTCAGTCTCCTCACTGTATGTTTTATCGGAAAAAGAAAACGAGATGATCCAAATGATCAAAACTGTCATTGTCAATGTACATTTATAGTTTATTAACAATGCTTTTTATAAATTCTTTTATCTCTTTTTCATTTTAAAAAGAAAATATATCACTTTATTAAAGAAAGTAGTTTCGATTTTGCCAAAAATTATGCCATAATTTCTTATAGAAATACCAAAAGCAGCATTGATATTGGCATTGTGACCGATTTACAACTCGTACAAGAAGAGCATCGTTTATTCATCGTTGTAAAGATAACCTAAAAACTTTCATGGTAAAAATGCCAAAAAATCTGATAAACAAGAAATTGCGATGTGCAAAATGACTGAAAAAAAGCAGAGTTATTAGCATTCATTCGCGGGAAACAAGCAGCGTAACTTTGCTAATCCAAATCGGCAACTTTCAGTGCACTAGCCTTGAATTAAGTTTGTTTTTTTGCTCAAAATAATCTTAATTGGATAAAGTTTCATTGTAACAACGTTTTCCGTTGTAAGAAAAAGAAAACACATCGAATATTTATTTCCCAAATATGACAAGATTCACGCGGCACCCTGCGGTCTTTCAAGTTGACAAAAGATTGTCACAAGGTCCACCTGATTGAAATAATATGAATCAAATTGCCATGTTGGAGTTGGACTCGTCATTGCGCACAGGAAAGGATTTGGCTCTTTTGAAACGATCTGAAATCCGAAAGATTTTCTAATATAAAACTCTCATTTTAGACATTTAAAAGCCTCTCTATAATGCCTGTTTTTTTTGTGACTGATAAGTGATGTTAAATATTGAAATAAGTATAATTCTCCACCTCGGTACCATACTCTTCAAGTTCGACGATATAATATCCAGTGTCTGGATACCAATCCGGATACTCTGGTTCCTGTGGGATCACTGAGAAGTGAATCTGAAAACTAGGAAATCATTCAATAGTTTCTTCTAAACGATTACAAAGATGTAACTTAAAACTGACTGTAGTATTGTTTAGACTCTTGCAAACGTAGCCAGCTGTTTGACATCCGTTTGCGTCAGTCCTAAACTTCAGATTTTGATCTTTAATATTTTATAATATAAAAACAAGCAAAAAAAAATAGATTTCTCACGAGTAGAAAAGAGTCAAATTCTGAGGCTGATCCCCCTGATCCCATTTTGCTAGTAAGGCAGCTTCAGAGCAACCATTTCCACACGCTAAAACATTCGCGTTGGTATGAGATCACAGAAGTTATCGATAGTTAAAGTTATTACCAAATTCCATTAAAGGTAACTGATTTGAAATTAGATTTCTGTTTTTTTTTGTCCGCTCAGAGAGGCAGCCGGATACCCAATTCTCCTTCCGGATCTGGGGAGCAGATCAACAGTCGTCAACGGTGGAATCCTAAAAGAACAGCCAACCGTTCTTCACGTTTTCCTCCTGCCCATTCCCCAATCACTGCGATGACGCGCGTTGAAAAAAATGTGGATAAAGCGAAATCAAAACTACAGAATTGATCCTAACAAAGTTTGACTTCTTTCATACAGTTTAAGGGCTGTCATACTATGTATCGAGGCCGTGTGCCAGATGGCGAGCGATTACGAGCGCGCACAGAGATCAAAAACAAACGTGGAATCGTCGTGACTGTAGTCGTTGTTGTGGTCGTCTGTAATTTACTTTTCAGTAACACCAGCATAACACATGCTTTAGAAATCGTAAAAATAATTGCCAGAAACGAGTTCCCTGTGTGGGAAAACCTTAGCATGCAAATTTCAGCTAAAATGCAAGTTGCACCCATATTGTGGTGGCTGTGCGGTCGCCACACGACCCGGGTTCGACCCCCGCCAGTGGCCATCTACTTTGACTTTTTGCAATTTTTTTTGAAAAGGCACAACTAGATGAAAGTTCATTAGATATGTGTTTCAGCGTTTTTTAAAATGCTCAAAGGGGACGCCCGTAGTGCACGCACAGACGGAGGAAAATTATTTTTTTATATAGTAAAGAAAATTTATTCAAAAAATCGATGTTGCTCTAAAAGGGTTGGAATAAGAGATTTTTTGCTGAAATCTTTCTTCGTGAGGTTTTCGGGGTCTAGAAATCGATTGGCTTAAACAGTTTTTCTAGGAAATGCGTAGTGCGACAGACGGACAGAGATTATTTTATATATGTTACGTCCGAATCTGAGGAGACGTCCATCTCCGATCCGGATGTCCGAATCTGAGGAGATTCATTCTCCTCTGAAACGGACGTCCGATCGGAGATGGACGTCTCCTCAGATTCGGACGTAACATATATACAGGATGGCGCACAATTACCCGCACTCAGTTTAGATTCTCCAGCTTAGCGAAGAGTCAATCAATCGACCTAATTCTTTTTTTTATTATTAAAGTGCATATTTCTTTTGCAATGTGTTTTCTGGATTTGTTCAGAAAAGTTTCTAAATTTTTGCTAGAGCGCTGCAAAGTTGCGACACACGTTTCCTGCGGTGGAATCTCGATTTTCTAGTTTTTGTAACTGTTTCAATGCTTCAAAATCAAAGAAAACCAGCTTCATTTATTTCTTTTTATTTATTATTTCCAAAATCTAGCTCATTTTTACTCGAAAATAATGAATTTCGATTAGGGATAAAAGTTCAAAATGTGAATTTAAACTGAGTGCGAGTAATTGTACGCCACTCTTTATATATATGTTGTGTCCGATTTAGATTTCCGTCCGATTTAGATTGAACTTATCGCGGACGTCCGATTTAGATTACAGTCTATATCGGACGTCCGATTTAGATTCAATCTAAATCTTATATAGATTGAACAATAATATAAACATGTTTAGTATATGTTCTTAAGCGTTTTCTGTAGTTTTCTGCATTTTCAAAGGTCTTTTATTGATTATTTCATAGTTGGGTTTTCTTTTCAGAAAAAGACAGTAAAAGACCTTTGAAAAATGCAGAAAACTACAGAAAACGCTTAAGAACATATACTAAACATGTTTATATTATTGTTCAATCTATATAAGACGTCCGATTTAGATTGAGTCTAAATCGGACGTCCTATATAGACTGTAATCTAAATCGGACGTCCGCGATAAGTTCAATCTAAATCGGACGGAAATCTAAATCGGACACAACATATATATATATGTCGTAGCCGCTAACGAAATTCAGCCGCTAACGAATGAAATTTTTCGCTAGCCGTTTACGAATGATTCGTTAGCGGCTAGCCGTTTACGAATCATTCGTTAACGGCTGGCCGATTACGAAAGAAATTTTTTCACTAGATGTCTACGAAATCTTTGTAATTGGCTTCTGCGAACATGGCTAGATTCAAATGAACTTACCAGGTTTTTGGTTTCAAATTTTTTACACAAAAAAAGAAAAGAGAAAAAATTTGATTTTGAAGCGAGCTATTAAAAGTTTTCAAAATACCCCTTTGCTGAAATTGGGTCCTCCGGGACGAGTCCTCCCCATTGTTATCAGTGATTTCGGATTAATTTTCTTTCTGCTTTTTTATTATGCTTTGGTTTCATTATACTTGCTTTATTATATTTGTTTTTTTCAGGATGAATTCATTTCTCAACCAACTTGACGCTTATCAAATTCTGAAAAAGCGAACGCATATACTAACGACGAAAAAATACGATGAAATTGTGAACATATTGATAACAATGTCAAGTGAAAGTGAAAGCGAGAAACGGAAGCGAACGACAGAAGAGGCGAATTGGGCACGTCGTTACTCGATTCAATGTATTGAGCAATCAATGATACTCTACAATCATGGAGACAAAGGAGAGAACGAACAACCAAAACGAGTCGTCAAGAAAGAAGAACTCTTCGATGTTTTGACGTCAACTCACAAAAGACTAGGACACGCCGGCCGGGACCTGATGTGGAAAGAACTGCGAGGAGATTATCACGGGATCTCAAAGGAAATACTCGAGATTTTTATCAAACTTTGCCCGGAATGTGAATTAAAGAAGGGGACACCAAAAAAAGGAGTTGTTGTGAAGCCGATCATAGCGAAGGAGCAAAATGAACGCTGCCAAGTCGACTCAATTGATCTTCAATCGGTTCCGGACGGCGACAACAAGTTTCTGATGGTTTATCACAAATGGTTTATCACAAATGGATGCACGAATGGACGATGTGTGTGCCTCAAAACCAATATGCTCTGCAATAGCCGATGTCATCACAGTAATTCTTGTACCAACAAATAAACAGTTAACGGCTAGCCGCTAACGAATCATTCGTTAGCGGCTGAATTTCGTTAGCGGCTACGATATATATATATATAAAAAAATCTCTGTCCGTCTGTGCGTGCACTACGGGCGTCCCCTTTGAGTATTTAAAAAAAACATATTAGCGCCACTTTGTAGTAGAGTAAAAAAATGACAAACCGTATAACATGACGGCAATGGGTTCATTATCGGAGCCGCCCACACATTTAGACCGCATTCCTTTACACCAGTTTCCAGATTTTTCACCTAAAACCAATGAAATGCAGAAGTTATTTACATAAAGAACAAACCACTGGATAATCGTAGCAACATTTCTCGGCACCAGTACAGGGAACTTTTGGGCAAGCAATCCGACGAGCGTTGGGACCACTAAAAGTGATTTAGGCACTTTTTTTTACATCTGTCCTTCGCTGTTGAGTCTATTTATTGTTTTTTGAATGTCTTATATAAATAGTTATATCAATAACAACATAAACTCAATATTACTTACGTGCACGGACATCCGTAGTCCTTCGACTTGCAGACCCTAGTTTGCCCCAAACGTCCACACATTCCACACGAGACCAGTGTGAAATTGTAGTCGAATCTACCACAAGGTCCACTACTCTGCCATGCTGACCAAATACCTAATAAAGTTTTAGCTTTTTCAAGCTAAAAGACTTGCCTCCAGTTGGGCACGGACATGGATGCATTTTCTCTAAAATCTCTGTGATTTTTGAATCTTTCAAGGTCAAACTTGTAAGTTGACAACCGGGTGCTTGATAGTTATCATCTCGTGTAATATTTCCACAAACATACCTTGTCGATCCTCTTGGTTGATACTAAATTTAAATTTCTGAAGTAAAAAAGTAAGCCAAACTCTAGCAGATTTTTGTAGTTTTGTCCTAATCTAGGTTTCTTTACAAGAAGAACTTACTCCAGAAAAACTACACTTGATATCGATTTTCGGGGGTTTGACTAGAATCTACCACTACTATAGAGCCTAAGCCTGAGCCTGAGCCTGAGCTTGAGCTTGAGCCTGAGCCTGAGCCTTACCAAAAAGCCTTTTTGTAGCCTGTAGCAAACAACCTTAACCTTTTTAAAGCCTGTAGCACAAACGGGAGCCTTCGGACAAACAGCCGATGCGCAAGGGACAATTCGGGAAACAGGGCCTCTAAAGTTTGAGTAAATCAACTTAAATTCTAAATACGTATGCCCTTTCTTAAACTGTGATTTACTTGCACGGACATCCCATCGCAAATGATGGACAGCTTCTTTTCTGAACCTTCTGTCCAAAGAGTCCACAAGTTTTCGAGCATGTCGTGTGATCCGACCATTGGCTCCATTGTCCTGATCATATTTCAAATTTCATTGAATTCAAGCTTCAATCCAAACCATTTACTGGACAAGTCTTGCAAACAGGAAGTGTCGCTTCAACAATCGATATCGATATCGCTAAAATCAGGGTGAATAGGCTTCTAACAAATAGAGCGGTAAAGTATCACAAAAGAGTAAATTACATGAGATTTTATAAAATAAAGATTTAAATTTGCAAACTCACCAATAACAGGCAACCAAAGGATGCTCTTCAACATGATGCTCTCAATCTCAAGCAAGAATTTGTCGATTTAAGCTTTATATTCACTTTAAACGGGCCAAAGTTCAACCTCTTTTATTACAAGTACACGTTTTGAATGAATAAAATCAAGCTTTTGATTGATTTGAATGAAATCAATGAATGTGAAAGCCAAGTGAACAGTTTCCTTTCATTTTTGGTTTCTTTTTTTTGAAAAAGCCGAATTTCATCACTCAACAAGCTCAAATGTGAACAACAAAAGATCGAGGTTCATTTTAGGCTTTTGTGTTCGTTTGTTCGAAATTCTCTGCAAAAGAGTTGAATGTAAAAGTATTTTACGTGCAAATGTTTTTGCAAAAATATCATAAAAACATTTGCACGTAAGCATTTTCGGCTCAACAAATTGAGGTTGTTTATTTGGGAAATATTATGCTACGCCACCACAACCACAACAACGACAACGACAACCACGACAGCAACCACAACCACCACAACGGCAACAACGACAACAACCACAGCCACCACAACGACAACAACGACTACCACAACAACGACAACTACTACAACAACGACAACAACCACAGCCACCACAACGACAACAACGACTACCACAACAACGACAACTACTACAACTACTACAACTACTACAACAACGACAACAACCACAACCACAATGACATCGTTTTGATCATTTGGTATATGCTGTAAAACCTTATCTTATTGAAGTCTATTCATTTATAGTTGCCATTTTTTGAAGAGAAGATGATAGCAAGTGAATTAATTCAAAAATAGACCCGATATCGTTGTATCTTGCAAAAAATTGCTTGTTAAAAGGCTTGTTAAAAGCTTTTTAAAAGCTAATCAAGTCTTATTCGAAGGTTTAAGTACGAAAAATGAAGGCATAAGAGTGTTTATTTTATAAAGAAAAATATCACAATAGATTAACTCTTTGTTTGATCATTTTCATCATCTTTTGTTTCATGAATCCTGTATCGTATTGTTTGAGGCACAATTGCAATCTTTTGTTTCCTCGGTTGGCTTTAAGTCAAGAAGAAATGCGAGACATGTCATCATGCCTGAAACTATCTGAAACACAAAAGATTAGTTCAAAAATGATCAAGAAAGCGCTAGGTTCTGTTGTTCTGATCTTAGCATAGTTATTGCTAAAATATTTCTAGTTTAATCATAAATCCAACCGTAAGGATGAGTGGTTTTGTGACCCGAGTGAAGCCCCATAGAGTGATTCCGAGATCGGGTTGATCGAGATGGATGGCTAGAGTGGTGGCAATCTAGAGAACGATTACATATCCACGGAATAGAGGGTTTACCTTGTTGAGACACTCATCATACGGTATCCACACATTGTGATTTGTACACAAGAGTGTCTTCGATTTGCTTAGCTAAAGGGATTGTTAATAGATTTCTCCTTAACTTACTTCATCCGATATTTTTGACGAATACATGATCGCGTAAAGCTCGAATGTGCAAAAAGCGACTGTAGGAAGGCTAAGAAAGCTTTTCTTTAATCTTTTCATCTTTAAGATTACAATCTATAGGTATAAGTTAGGTTTTATTACCTCTTGAAATTGAATGACAATCATTTTTCTCCAGGATCGCTAGTCTTTTTGAAAACGCACATTTTTGGGGTAAGAAATGTGCATTTTCTATACAATTCTTATAGAAAATCCACATTTCTTTACGCATTATTTAATACTTTTCTATCTACGCATTAAAGAGTAATTAAGGTTTATTTAAGAGCAGAATTGTACTTGTTCACGTGCCTTATCAACAGAAAGAAAGCTTTTCTTTAACCTTTTCATCTTTAACATTACAATCTATAGGTATAAGTTAGGTTTTTTTACCTCTTGAATCTGAATCTGACAATCATTTTTCTCCAGGATCGCTAGTCTTTTTGAAAACGCACATTTTGGGGCTGAGAAATGTGCATTTTCTATACAATGCTTATAGAAAATTCACATTTCTTTACGCAGTGTTTAATACTATTCTATTTATGCATTTAAGAGTCATTAAGGTTTATTTAAGAGCAGAATTGTACTTGTTCACTTGCCTTATCAACAGCTCTGTCAATGTTGATCATGAGGACGAGAGTGAGAACGAAAATTGTCAATGGGATCAATGCATTTTCTGTACAATGCTTATAGAAAATGCACATTTCTTTACGCATTGTTTAGTACTTTTCTATCTACGCATGGAAGAGTAATTAAAGTTTTTTTACAGAATTGTACTTGTTCACTTGCCTTATCAACAGCTCTGTCAATGTTGATCGTGTGAGGACGAGAGTGAGAACGAAAATTGTCAATGGGATCACACAAGCTGTCACAGAGAATGCATATACCTAATCATTAAAAATAACCATTTCAGTTAAAAAAAACAATCACTTTATACAATTCGTCCATTGCTTGGATACATTTTGTGATTTGTGTATGCTCGAGAATAAGACTTTCTAGATTTGATCTCATTAACTCACTTGGAAGAGTGTTTAACTAAAAGAGATCATTTTAGAAGTGTTTTTTTATGGTACTTGTGTTATTTTATAGTTGAATTTCTTCAGCTCACAGTGTACGGCATTTGTCAAACACAAATAAGTGGCAAGATCTGAAAATGGGCTTGTCAATGAGATGGAGAAAATGATGTAACGCACTGTAAACAACAAGTGATAAGTAGAGAACGAAAAACAACGGTCGAACGTAGATCGATTGGTTAAAGTAGAAAAGCTGAAAGTTAGACGTGTTTTAAATTGTGTAAAGGTTATGAAAAACAAACTCGAAAGAAAGATGGATGAACGAGTTTGGCCAACAATCCACTCCAAATCGCCACATAAAAGATAAACATTGTTATTATGCTGTAGATCTAAAATCTCTATTCAATTTTCTAATTGTTTACCCATTTTATAGCTTACCCTTACACTTAAAAACTACCGTAAATGCTGTAATAGTACCCCACCGCCCTCGTACAGTCGCGTAGTCGCAAAAGTTTTTTAGTATTTCATTTTTTTCAAAGCGCCCCGTACTTTCAAACAATGCGTCTTTGGTATCAAAAAATAGCTGAAATTCAGGGCTATTTTTTGATACCTAAGCGCGCATTGTAGCATAAACCAGTGTCGAGAAAAACTCGTTCAAAGCTAGACTACGCAACGCTCCGCATCGTCATTATCTTTGGTATCAAAGAAGCGTCTTTGGTATCAAAAAATAGCCCTGAATTTCAGCTATTTTTTGATACCTAAGCGCGCATTGTAGCATAAACCAGTGTCGAGAAAAACTCGTTCAAAGCTAGACTACGCAACGCTCCGCACCATCATTATGGGGGTGGGGTACTATTACAGTGTTTACGGTAGACTTAAAACTAGCTACTTTAACAGTTTACATTTAAAATTAGGTAGTAATCCTATAGCAGTATGTTTCACGAACCTGAAGTCCCCAAAAAAGTTTCCTGTTTCCAGAGTGGACTCGTTTATGAAACTATAAATTGATTTTATTCGTAAAAGTCTTGTAAAAGCAAAAAAATTACCATATCAAGTTCGTCAGCACCGCAAATTTTTGAGTGTCTATGCACATGAAAGAAATGATGAAAGTTGAGATTCTTTTGCCATCGAAGTAGAAAGATCTGAACTAGCATGTTGAATGTACTTCTAACAAACTAAAAAAACAACTTGTAAACATGTAAATTTGTAAGTTTATAAGTGAATTTGTAAACTTGTAAGGTTATAAGTGGACTTGTGAACTTGTAAGTTTGTTAGTTTGTTTGCAAGTAAACTTGTAAGTTTGTAAGTAAGTTTGTAAGTTTGTTTGTAAGTAAAGCTGTAAGTTTGTTTGTAAGTAAAGCTGTAAGTTTGTTTGTAAGTAAAGCTGTAAGTTTGTTTGTAAGTAAAGCTGTAAGTTTGTTTGTAAGTAAAGTTGTAAGTTTGTAAGTGAACTTGTAAGTTTTTAAGTAAACTTGTAAGTTTTAAAGTAAACTTGTAAGGTTGTAAGTAAGTTTGTAAGTAAACTTGTAAGGTTGTAAGTGAACTTGCAAGCTTGTAAGTAAGTTTGTAAGTTTGTTTGTAAGTAAAGTTGTAAGTTTTTAAGTGTAAGATACTAGAAATTTTCCTAAATAAATCCTAAGCTAAGATCTTCAAAATCAACTTTTAAAAAGTCTTCTTGAATAGAATTCTTAATTTTCTATCTGTCATGAAATTTTGTAATAGAAACCAAAGAGAGCGATGCTTGAAAGGTGATCGCCGAGACGACCATCGTGCTTGGAGCGAGATTCGCGTGAAAGTCAGAGAAGAGAAAAAATAGATCGTAGATCACCGTATAAACACCTGAAAGTGGAAATAAATAGAAAAAGTATAGACAGACTTGTAAACAGAAAGAATCCAAGCCATAAACGTTGTAGAAAGTGGGGACTTTCACGTGAGCTCACGTCGAAAAGAAAACCCATCCATGTGAGCACCTAGAAAGGCAGCTTTAAGCTAGAACTTTTCAAATCCACCTGCTACTAATATTTTTCCCTATCGTAACCCAGTTAAATATCTTTTTAAGGGAAATTAAGAAGTCTTTCAGTCAAGAAGAAGAAAAAGTCAAGGTCAAGAAGTCAAGGTCAAGAAGTCAAGGTCAAGAGGTTCAAGGTCAAGAAGCCAAGGTCAAGAAGTCAAGTCTTTCAGTCAAGAAGAAGAAAAAGTCAAGGTCAAGAAGTCAAGAATACATTTTTATGTGCGTTTCGGAAAAGACTAGTGATTCTGGGGAAAAACGGTTGTCATATTCAGATCTAGGGGATAAAAAAACCTAACTCAAATCGTAAAGTAATGACAGAAAGTGTCAGATGTACACGCTGCTCTACCTTTAACAACAAACTTTTTGAAATTCGTGAAACTGCTTCTCGCTTTTGTCATCAACATCTCGATCCAGCAAATAGCATCCATCAGCGGCGAAGAGTTTTCCATTTTTCACTGGTTGATCTTTCGACTTCATTGAGCTGTTCTCAAAGATTGTTTTCCCAAAATTTCGAACATAGAGTCCTGGTGAGCAATTTGCCTAAAAGCTTTTGTTAGAAATATTTTATTTCTCGAAACGAGATGTTTATGATTGTCTAGATTTGTTTATTTTGAATGTTTCCCTAAAGTTTTTCTAGTTTTTATTTGTTTTAATTAGAAATGAATATAGCTTGCTTCATTCATTCTTACCGTAAATACTGTAATAGTACCCCAAAGGCCCTCGTACAGTCGCGTAGTCGCAAAAGTTTTTTAGTATTTCATTTGCAAAGCACCCGTACTTTCAAAAAATGCGTCTTTGGTATCAAAAAATAGCTGAAATTCAGGGCTATTTTTGATACATAAGCGCGCATTGTAGCATAGACCAGTGTCGAGAAAAACTTGTTCAAAGCTAGACTACGCAACACTCCGCACCGTCATTATGGGGGTGGGGTACTATTACAGTATTTATGGTATGTAAAATAAGAATGAACAGACTTAATGTAGCTTTTGCTAATAGAGAAAAATGAAAGCATAAGAGTGTTTCTTTTATATTTTGATTCTTAAATGAAAATGAAAACAAATAAAAACGTATTACTAAAAAGCTCATTATAGAAATTCAAAAATTATATAAATGCGAAAGAAAATTGACAAAAAAGAGCTAAAAAGAGGTGAAAAGAGCTAAAAACTGACCTCGTTATACGATGATCTTCTAGCTTTTGAGTCCATTTTGGCACTTTAACAAATCCAATAAACAAATAAAAGGGATTTGAAATGAGAAAAGGAATATTTCTATTCATCCATCTGAAACTGGTTTTGAATTTCATTATTTGAAGAGAAAAGAAAGAGAAATAAAAAGAAATTGAAAAGAAAAATAGTTGAAAAACAATCTCTGAGTAAAATGGCAAAGAATTGGATGCGTTTATTCTATACAAATTTTTTTTTTTTCTTTTCAAGTCGCAAATCATTTATTCACAAGGGAAAATGTGAAGTGAAGACATCAAAGGTGAACAAGAGTCTATTCTTTTTTGTTTTTAAAAACAAAGAAAAAGATTTATTATTGGATTAGTGAAAAATTGCATAGAAAGTTTCTAATTTAAAAGTTTCCCTTTTTGGGAATCAATGAGACAAAAGTTAGCTCAAAAAACGCACATTTTAACTGTTCAACTTTTTTGAAAACGGCTAAACTAAAGAAAGTTGAGTTAACTCGGTCTAGAGTCAGGGAAATCAGGTGCTTGGTAGTGTAATGGTTAGTACATTTGCCTGGGAAGCGAAAGGTCGCGAGTTTGATTCCCGGTGGTGCACCAATTTTTGATCTACCGTAGTTCAAACTGGCGACCACGGAAGGAAGCAATGCTGGCTAAGGCAATGCTGGCTAATACCTCGTTTCGAGGCCTATAAATCGAGATGTGTGGAAGTTAATTCCCTTTAGAGTAAGGGAAATAAAGTGCTTGGTAGTGTAAGGGTTGGCACATTTGCCTGAAAAGCGAAAGGTCGCGTCCCAGCGGAGCGAAAGTTTTCTGCCCTAGTTTCAACTGGCGACCCCGGAAGGAAGGGCTCTGTAATGCTGGCTAAGGTCTTCATACCTCGTTCCGAGCGCACCCCCGGGTCAATAAATCGAGAAGTGTGGAAGTTAACTCCCTCTAGAGTCAAGGAAATGAGGTGCGTGGTGGTGCAATGATTAGCACATTTGCCTGAAAAGCGAAAGGTCACGGGTTCGAGTTCCAGCGGTGCGAAAGTTTTGATCTATCCTAGTTCCTACTCCTGTAAATGATTCGTGAAAAACTATAATATAAATTTCATCTTTTAAAATATAAGATAAATATAAATTTTCTTTAAAAAGTCTATAGAATTCTAATTGAATTCCATAAAAACATTGAAAAGTGAAAAAAAATTTCAATTTCGAATCGTTTGACGAGTTTTGCTTGAGAAAATTGCCAGTTTTGCATTGTTCAAAGCCTAGTTTAGACAAAAATTCCCTCAGAGCTGTAATTCAATGGGCCAACATATGAAAATGAGAAAAAATGTACAATTGTACAATTAAAAAAGTACTATAGAAATGCTCGAAAAGTTTAATTCTTTCAGATAAGACTATTTAAGTCCTATTTTTAAGCAGTTATAACTCAAGATTCTCCATTTTTTCTCCAAGCAGTTTGACGCAATTTTCCGAGAAGCTTTTCTTTGTATTCAAAGTACAATTTTCAAAACGTTGTAAACGACTCGCTCTAAAGCAAAACTGACTCGCTCTAAAATAAACAGCCTTGTTTGGGAACTTTTGGCGCATTCCCCATACAGTCCTCTCCCCTTTTGATTACTATTTATTCCGGATCATGAGTAATGAGCTTGCGGGAGAACACTTCGATTTGTCAAAGTCAAAAAGGAAGAAGCAGTCAAAAATTGGCTTTGAAAGTTTTTCGATTCAAAACCAAAATCCTACTACGAAAGAGGAATCCGCAAATTGCCTGTAAAATGGGCAGAAGTCGTCAATAATAATGGAAATTATTTCGAATGAATTTATGGTTTTATGTTGAATAAATTTTAGTTCAAAGTCCTGCAGTTTTCAATTCACCAACCCAATATTTTGCATTAGACATTCTATCAAATTTCCAATGAATTATTCCATACTTTATGATTAAATTTGAACTGTAAAGCACTTGCTAACGAGCATTGAAATGTTAAAAAAGGAAAAAAGTGTTGCCAGTGTCTTCTCTTTAGCCACGAAACCCTTCCTTCTGTTAACTACTACTTAAAACTTAATAATAAGCAAAAGAAACAGATAAAAAGCTATTAACTATAATATAGTTTATAATCTAAAAGCTTGAGCTTTCTAGGTGATATACAATTGGGATGAGGACAGGGACGTCACCCAGTTGAACGCTCAATTAGGATGAGCAGAATTCGTCATTTTTTTTTTTACAAACTGTTCAATGATTCATATATTAATCTCTTCTTAGCGATGATCTGTTCAAAAATTTCACGGTGATTATTACGAATCCTTTCTAGTTTCAGACAATTTGTACTCCTTATCACCAAATTCTTTTTTGAAAGCTTAAAACTGAGCTTTTTCCCCTTCGTTTATCGCTATTATTTTCATTTTTCAGTTTACTTTTACAATTTCAAAGATTCAAATTAATCTATGCCTATGTTTTTGCTTAATTCTGGATTAGTTTTATTATTATTTCCTCATCTAGTATTTTCGTCGATCTTGACAGATTCACAAGTAAGTTTACGTTGTTTAAAGCTCGATTATTTTATTATTTTATTATTATTATTATTATTATCATTAATTTTTACAATTACAATACTTATTTTATAATTATTTCACATATAAACAATGTGTTTTTGTTATAATTTAATGTGATTGGTGTTTCATAATAAAACCAGCAGGAAAAGTCGCCTAAACGCCTAAAGATTCAAATTAATCTATGACTGTTTTGCTTAATTCTGGATTGGTTATTATTATTTCCCGATCTAGTATTTTAATCGCCTAAACGGCGGCTTTCCCTTGGGATGGTTCCGGGCAACGTATAGTTTAATGAATGATTCGATGAGTCAAATGAATGAATGGACGGAGAGGATTTTAAGCTATTTAGGCAACGCCCAGGGTGCACTACTATTAGGGAAAATATAGATATAGGTTATCACAGGTGGCCAGATTCAATATATACCGTATTTTCTCTAATAGTAGTGCGCCCCGGCAAGCCGAGTTGGTGACTATTCTCCGGTTTCCAAGTTTTTGCAGAAACTCAACACTCTAATCCCTCACTAGATCTCATCGTCAGCTACATTTTCCGACCCCACATCGATAGGTTCTGATAAGCGGTTCACGAGATTTCGAGGAATTTAGGCAGCGCTCAGGGTGCACTACTATTAGAGAAAATACGGTAGTTTAATGAATGATTGTTATAGCGGGAGCCATTCTAAACAACTCTGTCGCTTTGATTGATCGGCAAAACCTTGAAAATTGTATTGTATTAAACCCCAAACCGTCCCTTGTCAGCTCATCATAAGTAGAAATGTTTTTCAAAACCATAAGCAAAGTTTTAAAGTAAATTCATAATCCCAAGGACCGCCCCATCTAGGCGATGAAAGGGATAAGCACAGGGGAGAACACATTTAAATAAGATTAGACAAATCATTCAATAATAATAATAGTAACTAAAATATCAGTTTGGCTCGGAGCTGACATTACTAAAAACCTATAAATTGAGGAGATTAAAATAATAACGATTGGAAAAACCACCAATGATACTGTCAAATAGTTAACTTGAAGTTTTGCAAGTTTCAATCTAGTGGCATTTTGCATTGATCGGCAAAACCTTGAAATTTGTATTGTATTAAACCCCAAACCGTACATCCGGTACAAAAATATAAAAGTAATCGTAATAAAGAAAAGTACAAAAGAAACAGATCCATTAAATTTACGAGCATAAAATCGTTTTCTCAGAATGGACCCTTCCCCGGTCTCGGCTACACCCCACCATTCAAAACATATTCTGGCTATTTGGATGCGAAAAATCAAAAGGGAGCATCGAATTGGAGAATGTTCTATTGGTTTGGAAATTGACATTGAGTTTTTTTTACAAGGGAAGACAATAGGATTTGATCAAATGAGATAAGCCATAAACCATTCGACGCAAAATTTCATCCTCATTCCGAATCTGCTTTTGCGTTTTTTCAAAATGACTTTCTATAATAAGTTATACGTGTTTGAAGTTTCAGGGTGAAAGTGCGAAAATTTGAAGCCGAATATGGATGCTTTTATAAGATTTCTCTCACGGCTTCGAAACGTGACTTGATAGTATAGTGGATAAAACGATTGTATATGTTACGTCCGTTTCCGAACAAACGATCATATCGGATTCGGACCTCCGTTTACGAACTAAACTCTGAAGTTCGTAAACGGACGTCCGAATCTGATCTAGACGTCTGGATTGGATTCGGACGTCGGTTTACGAACTAACTTTAGATTGGATCCGGACGTCCCTTCACGAACTCTGAAGTTCGTAAACGGATGTCCGAATCTGATCTAGACGTTTGGAATCGGATTCGGACGTCCGTTTACGAACTTCAAAAGTTTAGTTCGTAAGGGGACGTCCGGATTCAATCTAAACGTTAGTGCGTAAACGGACGTCCGAATCTGATCTAGACGTCTGGATTGGATTCGGACATCCGTTTACGAACTAGCGTTTAGATTGAATCCGGACGTCCCTTCACGAACGCTGAAGTTCGTAAACGGACGTCCGAATCCGATTCCGAACGTCTAGATCAGATTCGGACATCCGTTTACGAACTTCAAAAGTTTAGTTCGTAAACGGAGGTTCGAATCCGATATGATCGTTTGTTCGTAAACGAATGTAACATAGCCAAAAACGAGCAGATCATTTTTTGCTCGAGTTTAATTCCTTTTTCTTCAAAATTTTATATTTTAAATTACAAATGAAATTACTGATCTTATTTGGTCAAATCCTACTGTTGCCTTTCCCTTGTTAGTTGATTTAAAAAAAGAAACATTTACTTTAGGTTAACAGAATCAAAGAACGATCCAGCTAAGGATCCACTCGCAATTTATTTAGCTGGAGGTTTCAAAAGAGTTTCTTTTATATAAGAACTCGCTTTTAGGTCCTGGTTGTACATCTGTTGGAGAGGCTTTTCAAGAAATGGGACCATTTTATGCAAATTTTGGCGGAGATTCATTGTATGAGAATGTTTATGCCTGGAATGCGGTAGGTTTTGTAAAAAAATTTCGATTCGAAGATAACTCACAGCGAGCCAATGTGCTCTACATTGACACGCCGATCGGTACCGGCTTCTCCTATGACACGAATGATACGATGTCCATGTGAGTGTTTATTTGAAAACTATAGTCAAATGATCTAATTTCCAGCTATGCTGATGATGATCTATCGAGACAGCAAAACTATGCATCGATCTTTGACTTCTTTTCCAGGTAACATTGAGCTTTAAACTTTAAAAATGATTTTCAGAGTGGCTCCTGAATATAAAGATCGAGACTTTTACCTTACTGGCAGTTCATATTCTGGTGTTTGGCAGCCAATGGTTGCAGCGTTAATCGTCGACGGAATCAACAACAAACAGTTCCCAAATCCGAACTTCAAGGTATACTTTGAATACTTTGTTCGTAAACTTTGTTCGTAAACTTTTGCATCAGGGTTTCGCGATTGGTAACGGCTATTTGGATGTGATTGATTTGAGTAACGCGTTGGTTTTATGGCAAGCTTATCATGGAAAAGTTGCAATCAGGTATAGCATTGATCTTTAATAACCAGTTTTATCTATATCTAATCGTAAAATCGCGTAGTCGCAAATGTTTTTTGTATATTTCATTTTTCTGAAGCCCTAAATTTCAACTATTTTTTGATACCTAAGCGCTCATTTTAGCATAAGTTCAAAAAAAATGCGTTCAAAGCTAGACTACGCGACTGTACGCTCGTGGATGACGTTCTGTTAGAGTATTTACGGTAGTTTTAAGTTTAAGAATAGGAATACACACCACTGAATCCTTTCCTTTTCGTGGCTAGGATCAAGTCAAAATGAGATGGAGATAGAAATGATTTTATTTCCACAAATATTGCTTTGATCAGCTACTGAAATACTAGAGCTGAGGAAAAAGTCCTGCCTCAGCTGTGAAAAATTCTATTTTTATGCGCACTTTAATAACAAAAATAACAAAAATAACAAAAATAATTCCTCAAAAGATAACCCATCATTATCTACGACTTTCTGCCATCAATCTACAAGCTTTCGGATCTGGTCGAAGCAACACTCCATCGGTTTCGAAGCAAAGAACTCTTGGCAAGCTTCTTCAACTTCTTCAACTTCAAATGACTCGAATCGGCGGCCTTTCAGGAAATGCTGCAATGATCGGAAGAGACCGTAGTCGTCTTCCGATCCCTTCCGATCCGATGGGGCAACTGTCGGACTGTCTCAACTCCGTCCAGCTCATCAAACTTGCCTTTGGTCTTTTTGGCGGTTATCGAAATCTCTTGTTGAAAGTTTCCGTTTCCAGCAATAGCTGATGAAAACTCGAAGCTCTTTTTCTTGCAAACTCATCTGGAATACAAAGATCAAGATTGGTACAACACTATAAGCGCGAAAAGCCAGCAAAAAATGCATAAAAATTGAATTTTTCGCAGCTGAGTCAGAACTTTTTTTTCTCAAACCTAATTGAAGTAAAAGCTGGTATCTGAATTTCTCAATACTCGTATATTGAAGTAAAAACTGGTATGTGAAGATAGAAAAGAGTTTAGTCAATGGGAACAAATGAAGAAGGAGTGCTATGTTGAGAATGCCGGTCAGAGACAATACGATATGGATACCTACAATTTCTTCCATTTCGCCAGCACATCTAATGGTTTCGATTGGGAAAGCGATAAATCAGCTTGCGGGAATTTCGTTAATCAATAATCTATTTGAAAAGCCTAAAAATCATTTAGACAGTTGGATTGATCGATCAGCCAGAAGTATACAATTTCTATCTTGAATGTTGGGGATATGAAGAGGATTCAAGTGATGGAATGAGGAGAAAGGTTTCAACTTTGATAGAAATTGATATATGAATTGACTTTGATATAGACAACAAACAAAAGACATTTAGCGACCTCTGCAGAACCCAAAATCACAGACTCGCTTTAAAAAAGGCTTTGAAAATCATATGGCACAATCGTACAGAAAGCCGAATTCGGATCCGAAAGTCAACACAGCGGTTGGGTTTCTGAAACTTCTAATGATCTAATCAAGTAGCTGAATCTTTCTGATAGTTTTAAAACTGTTTTAATTATAATATAAAACGATTATATAAAGCTATTGTATTGGGTTAGTGAATTGAAAACTGCCGGACTTTGAACTAAAATTTATTCAACATAAAACCATTAATTGATTCCAACTAATTTCCATTATTATTGACGACTTGTGCCCATTTTACAGGCAATTTGCGAATTCCTCTTTCGTAGTAGGATTTTGGTTTGTGTGTGAGACAAGTGTGAGACTCAAAAATGGAGGACTGGTGATGTCCCAATGTCCCAGTTTGAGCACTTTCTTTAAAAGAAACCCATTTTGATGTCAATAGAAAAGTTGTAGAGAATCAAAAATTAGGCTTATAGCCAAATTTCCAAAAAGATACACTTAGTAGTTTCGCTTAAAATGCAAGTTTTGTGAAAGTTTCGTAAATTTCGCATTTCTTGAAAGCCAGTTTTTGAATCGTTCTGAAAATTTGGATATAAGCTTGATTTTTGATTCTCTACAACTTTTCCATTGACACCAAAATGGGTTTCTTTTGAAGAAAGTGCTCAAACTGTCACATATGACAATAGTCCGCAGTTTTCAATTCACCAACCCAATATAATAGTTGACACTAACCTTTGAAGCTTTTCACTGGTAAGGCTTCAGGATCCAATTCTCAATTCACCATTGTTCAATTCACCAATCCAATAATAAACAGTTCGAATTTCTAGTTATTGCAAAATTTCGAGTCATCCGATACTCAGTACGGTCTTCCGTGTTGGATTATGGGAGCCGTCACTAATTATTTCAATAAACCCGAAGTGCAAAAGGTTTGCTAAATTTTAATAAGCTTTTAGAAATTAAACAAACAAAAGAAAACAAGAGATTAAACAAAACTCTGCTCAGGTTTTCCATATTGCTGATGATTGGAGAGGAAAAGATGGAAAAGTGAAGGAGTACGTCGAGTGCAAGTAACTTTAAACTTTTATTTGTTTAGAAAAGTGGATCACTTCTATTCTATAAGATTTGTTTCAGTGATGATCTTTATCAACAATATAATCATAGCGATAAACTCTCGATGCAACCATACTTTGAATACATTTTTGAAAATTGGAAGGTTATCAGAATCTACAAGTTTTTTATATAAAAATTACAGAATCCTTTGAAAATCTTGATTTATAATGGTGATGTGGATACAGTGTGCAATTATTTGGGTGACATGAAATTCGTGCAAAGAATCGCTGGAAAGTACAACTTTAAGGTAAACGAGTTGAGAAATTTGCCAAGAGATTAGCATTATTTAATCAAAAAGTTTCTGATCTTTATGGCTTTAAATACTCAAGAATCACCAGAGGACTCGGGCAAACCTCTTCGACAGCACTCTGCTACGAGACAGAGACCTGGGCCACGACACAGACCTGGGCCACGACACAGACCTGGGCCACGACACAGACCTGGGCCACGACACAGACCTGGGCCACGACACAGACCTGGGCCACGACACAGACCTGGGCCACGACACAGACCACCGAACGAGCTCTGAGAACAACGCATCGGGCTCTTGAAAGGAACCTTCTCGGGCACAATAGGAAGACACAGCTCGACCAAGACCTAAGAAGTACGGATATGCGCCAGCTCTCGGGACTCAGAGATCCAGTGGAAGTGATCGAGAGAAAAAGACAGATGGGCCGGCCACGTGACCAGAAGAACAGACGACAGATGGACGATACGGAGTCGATATGGAGATCAGAGTGGGTACCACGAGACCAGAAGAGGCCCATCGGAAGACCAACAACTGGAGCACAAGAGTGGCAGAGACGGTCAGAGAAAGGATGGCTAGAGTGCAACCACCACCAGCACAAGCCAGAAGAACAAGCCACAAGCCACCAGCACAAGCCAGAAGTTGTTCCTGGTTTGAAGACTTCGAACTAGGAACAACCAAGATAGGAAACACTGGATGACAATAGCAAGGGATAGAGAAATGTGGAAGCAGGTTTTGATCTGCGCAAGTAGGAACACCTGAGTGCGAAAACAGATCAAAAAAAAATGGCTTTAAATACTGCCAACTTTGTACATCAAGGATTTTACAAATAACAAAAATTCAGGAAAGCGATCGAACTCGTTGGAATTTCCGTGGACTAACCGCTGGTTGGCAGCAACGCTTCACAAAGGATCAAATCATCATCGATATGTTGACTGTAAAGGTAAATAAAGAATTACTGCATTCTATTTGTTTTCTTTCTTTCAATCTAGGGTGCTGGACATTTTGTACCCAATGATCGTGGTGGTGCCTCCGTTCAAATGATCACCGGTTTCTTCTCGCACAATCCACCTAACTATGAGACAAATCTCACCAATCCTACCCCACAACCAATCGAGTTTCAACAAGAAACGGTCACCAAAGAAACCTCGATTCTTTCTTTACTACCTGCAATTGGAATTTTGATTTCAGCTTTTTTGTAAATAAACTTTTCAATTGTTCCATTTTATCATTTCAAAAATTTCAATTTCAAAATATTCTATCAAAAATATTTATCGATTATTTTGATGAAATTTATTTGACTTTCAAGCTATTAGGCTGATGCATAAGTCTTTTCGTTCCTTTTCGTCTGCCGTTTCAAGCCAACAAATGCACCAATTAAACTACGGTTGATTTCATTAGAAAAAGCAATTATTTTTCTGCAAAATAACATTAAAACGGGTTTAAAAATATTTAATGCCTGGATTTTCTTGAGAGTATGAAGTCGGGTAGTCAAAAAGGGCTAACTCGATGATGCGGTTTAGACACCTTAGCTAAAGAAAACCTATCTTCGTGTCAATAGATAAAAGATAGAGAAAAAAACGTTTGATATTTCGCCAAAATTTCAGAGAAATTCATTCAGCCAATTTTTCCGTAGAGTTTTTTATAGATTTTTACGAAAAAGGCGTTTTTCACTCTCGAATTTGCTTGAAAGTGAACCGAAATTCATTTAAAAAGATGCAAATTGAACAAAAAAACACTTTTTTTATAGAGCAAACTATAGATTAATTGGTGAATTTGTTACTTTTTAACAGAAGTACGAAAAAAACGAAAAGACTTATGCATCAACCTATTATTTCAAGCTAAGGAGTATTCCATAGAATTAAACAAATTCAAATAAAATGCAAAACAATTGAGAAAAAGTTATTTGCTTTATTTATAAAATATTCGATTGAGAGACGGACACGGTAGCCACTCGGCCATTCGAACAGAATCTCGGGCCGCTTTAAAGCGCCTCTTCAAAGCCTCCCTTCAAATTTCATTTTTACAGCGAAACAATAAAAGTCTTGTCACGATGACATGCAACCTAAATATAGACAAAATTAGGCACAATCTAACAAACAGTTACTAACCCCAAACCATGATTCCTCCACCATTGAATTTGACTGTAGGACGCATATACTTGAGTTTATAGCGTGTTCCAACAGGCCGACGAATCATTTGACCACCATCCGGATTGAATACCTCTAGAAAATGATCAAGCTTTTTGGAAAGATAACAAGATTTTTGGAAATATAAGAAGTGAAAATAAGTTGAGAGAGTAAGGAAGACCTTCAGTGGCTAGTTCCTGTAGTTTTTGCATTGTCTTTATTGCAAAATTAGGCTTGCATTGTCTTGTAAAATTGGTCCTTTTCAACTTCCATTCAATCAAAACCTTTGATTTCTCATATATTTTGTTGATTTTGTTAGATCATAGATCAGCATAGATCTCCGAATTGATTGTTTTTTTCTGATTTAAACAATTTATAGTGTAATACCCCCTTTGCGAACACCAGATAGACAACGAAACCTTCTTTGAATGGAGACTCGGTTTTGGTGGCTTTGGTTTTGGTGGCGGTTTTGGTGGATTTCGGTTTTGGTGGCTCAACAACGTCAAGCCACTCTCCTTTTTACTTCCTATTGTCATAAAGTGCTTCATATTCCACTTTTTATCTGTTATAATGATTCGATTCAGAAACGGACCCTTTTTGCTTCACAGAGCCAATGAAAACACATCCCGTAACGACTCAACTTTTCATATCTCCATATCTCCATCATTACTTTTCTGATTGCTTTGAAATGTCTATTGATAGTTACCTGATCAACTTCAAAGTGCTCCCCAAGTTCTCGCTCAATTGTTCAGAGACTCATTTCAACCTTTTTCTTTAACCTCATCAAAATCTTCAAGACTATCAGCTCCCTAACGAAATTGATTAAACCAAAAACGAACTATTTGTTCTTTTGTTGTTTCTTCACCAAAAGCAGCATTGATATTGGCATTTTGACCGATTTACAACTCGTACAAGAAGAGCATCGTTTATTCATCGTTGTAAAGATAACCTAAAAACTTTCATGTAAAAATGCCAAAAAATCTGATAAACAAGAAATTGCGATGTGCAAAAAGACTGAAAAAAAGCAGAGTTATTAGCATTCATTCGCGGGAAACAAGCAGCGTAACTTTGCTAATCCAAACTTTTACTAAACTAGACTTGAATTAAGTTTGTTTTTTTTTGCTCCAAATAATCCCGATTGGATAAAGATTCATTGTAACAAAGTTTTCCGTTGTACGAATAAGAAAACACATCGAATATTTATTTCTCAAACATTCCCAAACATCACAAGATTCACTCTGCACCCATCGGTCTTTCAAGTTGACAAAAGATTGTCAAAATGTCCACCTGATTGAAATAATATGAATCAAATTGCCATCTTGGAGTTGGACTCGTCATTGCACACAGGAAAGGATTCGGCACTTTTGAAACAATCTAAATTTGTTTCTGTTAATGATTCTGTTAATGTTAATGATTCCCACGTTGCTTCCAATAGCTTGACGCTCGACTGTGTAGTAACCAGTGTTTGGATAATAATCCGGATATGGTGGCTCCTGTGGGCGGACACCAAAGAAAATCTGAGCACAGTATTTAGATTTTTTTTTTAGAGTTAAGTACTATCTAAATTATCGTTGCTACTTTTGTATTATCTGGAGAATGTCTAAACGATTTTCTGACAACATTCAACACAAGTTTGGGATTATCCATTCCATTGATCCATTCCATTGATCAAGTCCATTCCATTCCAGTCCATTGATCTTAATATAGTGCTAATTGTTGGTTGCTTGAAATCGTTTCGTTACTTTGCAAAAGGAGATCAACTTAAGAAACTAATCAGTACCAAAATGTGTCTGGCTACATGCTTTATTTGTCAAAAACCACTCACTTGAGCCGTAATTGAACGAAAGTACAAAGTTGAACTTTTACAACATAAAATGCGCTGTCATGGAACTCATTGTACGATGTTGAACAGCTACAGTACTGGACAATGAAATATGATATTTGAAAAACGATCGTCACTTTCGCGCTTCTGTAACTCTGTTGTCTTTGAGTTAAACTATTAGTGTTATACATTTTCTGAAAGCGCTTTTCAAGGGCTACACAATGGTAATAATAATATTTAGAAATACGGTAAAGGCAAGGGAGTTACAGACGCGCGAAAGTGACGATCTTTTTTCAAATATCATTTCAAATTTCATTGTTCAGTAGTGTAGATAATCCGATACAAAATTGTGCTAAAGGGTGTGTGTTTGCGAACTCTTCAAGTAAGTCAAGCTAGATTCAAGCTAGATTCAAGCTAGATTCAAGTCTGATTCCTGCCTGTTTCAAGGACTTTTGTAAGCCAAACCTAAAGCCAGCCCTTGTGAGCTAATCAGATGATGACAACGCCAGAAATCAGCCAGAACCTCACCTTGGTCAGACTTGGCTTACAAGGGAAAGTCACGAAATCAAGGTGGCCAATCAAAATAAGACCTACAGCACTGGACAATGAAATATATATATATATATAATATATATATTCATACTTTATTCAGGACATGAAATAAAGCGTAATCAGTCAGACAATACACACTCACATAAATACATAGAGAAAGATGAGATATTTTACTCGGCGATGTGGAGGCGGGGAGAAAAGAAGATAGATAGAAGATAGGCTTCTTGCTTTAATAACCTCAGGCCATGAATGGGCCAACCCAGTGGAAGAGTGAACTCCGCTAGAGAAGGGATCTCTAGTCAGCTCTAGAGAAGAGACCTCTAGTCTGGGCGCACGGGCTAGGGAAGAGAACCCTAGGGGGGCCGAACCCCACACCCTCAGTTTGGAAGTGAGAACTTAGCCAATACACCATGAGGGCCCAATATGATATTTGAAAAACGATCGTCACTTTCGCGCGTCTGTAACTCCCTTGTCTTTGAGTTAAACTATTAGTGTTATACATTTTCTGAAAGCTCTTTTCAAGGGCTACACAATGGTAATATTAATATTTAGAAATACGGTAAAGACAAGGGAGTTACAGACGCGCGAAAGTGACGATCTTTTTTCAAATATCATATTTCATTGCCCAGTAGTGTATATTGCCGAATGAATGTGGAAAATCAACTGTAGTGGGCACAACACTTTTGATGCCATTCTCGATGGCACCAAGGCTTCCTCAAGGACTCCATCAAGGAAACTTAAAAGGATATCTTCCACACTTTTGAATGTCTAAATAAACTCAAGAGTCTTCTGAAATTGAAATAAAAAAATATTAAAAATGCAGTGAAATTTCGTGAAAAAATGAGTAGAAGCTAAAAATGACATGAAAAAAAATGAAAAAATGAACTTTTTGAGTCAGAAAATAGTTTTGGCATTCCCCAGATGACAAAAAAGTACCTTATCATCATTTCAGAACTTTTAGAGCTTTCAGCTCATAAAACTCACAAGATCGCTTGCGTTAATTGCCTGACAAACGTAGCCGGCTGTTAGGCATCCATTTGCATCGGTGCTAAAGCTTAGATGTTGCTTTATATTTCAATCGCATAAAAAAAGAATTCAGTAGCTTTCCCACGAGTAAGTGAAAGACAATTTCTGAGGCTGATCATCTGTCAACCATAGCGCTTGCAAATCCGCTTCAGAGCAACCACTACCACACGCTAAAATGTCTAGATTTATATAATTTATATGGAAAGGAACGTGCAAATGTTGTGACTGTAGTTGTGGTTGTTGTCGTCTGTAAAAGAGTTTTAAAGTTTAAAGGCTAATCAACAAACCGTATAACATGGCGGCAATGGATTCATGATCGGAGCCGCCCACACATTCAGGCCGCATTCTTTTGCACCAGTGTTCAGATTTTTCACCTATAATAATGAGAATTTTGTTTGTTATACAGTGCGTTTCACATCAAGTGCTCCACCCAAGAAAAGTGCTGTATCTTGAAGTTAGAAGCATGCTAAAGCTATAATTCTTCTTTTATTGAACACAACATGTTTAAATACCTTAATAAACACAAATTTAAGAATCCTTTTCGAATAATTCGAATTTCGAATTTTTCGACTAATAATTCTCGAAAAATTTTCATTAATTATTAAAAACGATCGTTTCGCATCAAGTGCTCTGGGAAAAAGTAACAATTTTGTTAAGAAATCAACAAATTAAAGAATAAAAAGAAAAAAAAACACTTTAGCGGCCGGACACAAAGGCCACGAACCTCAAACAAAAAGCGTTTCACATCAAGCACTTCACTCAAGAAAAGTACTGTATCTTAAGTTAGATGCATGCTAGAGCTTTAATTCTTCTTTTATTGAACAAAGCACGTTTAAATAGAAAGAAAAGAAAAACAGAAAAACACAAATTTAAGAATTCTTAACGAATAATTCTCGAAAAGTTTAAGTATTAAAAATGACCGTTTCACATCAAGTGCTTCGCATTGTTTTTCTTATGGTTTTTCTTTTAGTTTTTCTTATGGTTCTCATGGCTCTTATGGTTCTTATGGTTAGGTTTTCTCTGCCTAATTTTTTATCTTAGGTTTATGCCGCCTGCAACAGCTCTTGAAGAGTTCGATAAAGGACAAGTTACCTTATTGCATAGCCAAGGACTCTCGAATCAAGAGATTGCTCGACAACTGGAAAAATCGCCTTTTGAGCAAAGAGATTTTAATTCTAAATATGTATGCCCTTTCTTAAATTGTAATTTACTTCCACGGACATCCCATCGGTCGCTACCTCCGAAATCCTTCAAAATATGGAAAAAGAAAACGTAGCAACTACAAGAAGAAGCTTACTGATCGAGCTCTCCGACATATTGTAATCGGTATTCACGAAAAGTCGATTAATGATGTCCAAGGTGAGCTGAAGCTTAATGTCTCGAAGTCGACCATCTGACGTGCTTTCCAAACGACTCCACAGATCACCCAGAACACGTCGATGAAGCAACCAGCGCTGAAACAAGAGCCTAAAAATGCACGATGCACTTAAGCTCACATGGCTAAGGGTTGGACAAGAGTAATCTTCAGCCACGAGAAGAAATGGAATCTTGGCGGATCTGACGGATACACGAATTATTAGAGAGACTTGCGAAAGAACCCGATCTACTTTGGCACAAGAAACTTTAGAGGAGAAGATGTGATGTGTTGGGCAGCTTTTTGTGCTGATGGATTAGTCGATTTGCGCTTTGTTTCGAATAGTCTGAAGAGCCAAGATTATACCGATATCTTGAACACCAGTTTGCTTCGCTGCATGGCTCAAAATCCACAGATGAACTATGAATTTCAACAAGACCATGCTTCTATTCATAATGGCAACCACACCAAACAATGGATGTCTGGAAATGGAGTGGTTCTGATGGATCGGCCAAGCAGATTGCTCGATCTCAAACGCATCGAGAACCTCTGGGGCATCTTGGTTCGTGAAGTTTACAAGAATCGGCGCTAATATTCAACGATCGCCGATCTCTATCCGCCTCGCCTGAAAGAATTTGGACCCCATTATCTTCCAAAATCTCGTTTCCTCGATGCCAAGTCGCATTTTTCAAGTGATGAATTGCTCCGTACAAAATGACTGATAGTGTTTTCTTTTTGTTTGAGGTTCGTGGCCTTTGTGTCCGGCCGCTAAAGTGTTTTTTTTCTTTTTATCCTTTAATTTGTTGATTTCTTAACAAAATTGTTACTTTTTCCCAGAGCACTTGATGCGAAACGGTCGTTTTTAATAATAAATAAAAAATTTTCGAGAATTATTCGAAAAGGATTCTTAAATTTGTGTTTACTAAGGTATTTAAACGTGCTTTGTTCAATAAAAGAAGAATTAAAGCACTAGCATGCATCTAACTTAAGATACAGTACTTTTCTTGAGTGAAGTGCTTGATGTGAAACGCACTGTATAACAAACAAAAGCTACTTAAAAAAGAACAAACTATTGGCAAATTGTTGTAACATTTTTGACCAGTAGTGCATGGATTTTTTGGACAAGAAATTTTACGACGATCGGGGCCACTAAAAAGATGGATATTTACATGTTACCGTTTTTTTCTCTAATAGTAGTGCACCCCGGCGAGCCTAGTTGATGACTATTCTCCGGTTTTCAAGCTTTTGCAGAAACTCAACACTCAAATCCCCCACTAGATCTCATCGTCAGCTACATTTTCCGACCACACATCGATAGGTTCTGATAAGCGGTTCTCGAGATTTCGAGGAATTTAGGCGACGATCAGGGTGCACTACTATTAGAGAAAATACGGTAATCTGTTTTTTCTTTGTACTTTCAAATAAAGATACTGAAACAAATTGTCTAGACCTGCACGGACATCCTTGAGCTGTTGATTTACAGGTTCTCGTCTGCCAAACAGTTCCAAACATTCCACAGGTGATCTTCGTGAAATTGTAGTCAAATTTCTGACAAGGAGCACTGTTTTGCCATGCTGACCAGGCACCTGAACGAGATTTTTTTGGTTAACTATTGATGCAAACCTCCAGTTGGGCAGGGACATGGATGCATTTTCTCTAAAATCTCTCATTGTTTGCATGTTTTTCAAGATCAAACTTGTAATTCGACAGCCGGGTGCTCGATAGTTATCATCTCGTGTAATATTTCCACAAACATACCTTGTCGATCCTCTTGGTTGATACTAAATGTAAATTTCATAAGTAAAAAAGTAAGCTAAACTATAGTAGATTTTTGTAGTTTTGTCCTAATCTAGGTTTCTTTACAAGAAGAACTTACTCCAGAAAAACTACACTAGATATCGATTTTCGGGGGTTTGCCTAGAATCTACCACTACTATAGAGCCTAAGCCTGAGTCTGAGCCTGAGCTTGAGCCTTACCAAACATTTGGCCTAACCTTTTTGTAGCCTGTAGCACAAACGGGAGCCTTCGGACAAACAGCCGATGCGCAAGGGACAATTCGGGAAACAGGGCCTCTAAAGTTTGAGTAAATCAACTTAAATTCTAAATACGTATGCCCTTTCTTAAACTGTGATTTACTTGCACGGACATCCCATCGCAAATGATGGACAGCTTCTTTTCTGAACCTTCTGTCCAAAGAGTCCACAAGTTTTCGAGCATGTCGTGTGATCCGACCATGGGCTCCATTGTCCTAAGCATAGTTCAAAATTCATTGAATTCAAGCTTCAATCCAAACCATTTACTGGACAAGTCTTGCAAACAGGAAGTGTCGCTTCAACAAGGGATATCGCTAAAATCAGGGTGAATAGGCTTCTAACAAATAGAGCGATTAAGATTATAGCAGCAGAAAAGAGTAAATTACATGGGATTTTATAAAATAAAGATTTAAATTTGCAAACTCACCAATAACAGGCAACCAAAGGATGCTCTTCAACATGATGCTCTCAATCTCAAGCAAGAATTTGTCGATTTAAGCTTTATATTCACTTTAAACGGGCCAAAGTTCACCCTCTTTTACTACAAGTACACGTTTTGAATGAATAAAATCAAGCTTTTGATTGATTTGAATGAAATCAATGAATGTGAAAGCCAAGTGAACAGTTTCCTTTCATTTTTGGTTTCTTTTTTTTGAAAAAGCCGAATTTCATCACTCAACAAGCTCAAATGTGAACAACAAAAGATCGAGGTTCATTTTAGGCTTTTGTGTTCGTTTGTTCGAAATTCTCTGCAAAAGTATTGCAGAATGTAAAAGTATTTTAATAAATATAAGGTACAAACATTTGCACGTGGGTAGCATTTGCTCAACAAATTGAGCCTGTTTATTTAGGAATTCTTGTGTTGTTGATCATTTTGTGTATGCAGAGCTTTTAACCCATTCGAAACCGCAGCGTTTTTTTTTTTTTTTCGTCTACGGACCAAGCCCTTTTTTGACATTTTTGACTCCGAAGCAGTTTATTTATGGTGGGAAAGATGTTAGAGAGTCTCCTACACCATTTATTTTTGATGAAGAACGATTTGGATTTGACTTCAGTACTTTTCAAGATCCTATCGGTTATTGTTCTTATTTTATCGACGACAATATTTTAGTAGGCGAATCTAATAAACATGGAAAAAGGAAAACAAACTGGCAGGATTTCGATGCAAAATCTTTCAAGCTCTTCCTGGCTTCAAATGGGAATCGTCAAATTACCGAGGATTCGTGACTACTGGAGTAGCAGGCCTGGATTAGGAGGATTTTTTGCACATGTCCCACATTATGTCAAGAGCAAAATTTGAATCTATTCTTCGCAATCTGCGTTTTTGTGATAATGAACTGGATCCTGCAGGAGATCGGCTTTATAAGATTAGAGCTATTATGGAACATTTCAATGCAAAACCAGAGACTGCATTGATTCCGGGTAAATATGAAACATCTTTTTTGCCCACGTAATTTGTAGATCTGCTACAATTGGAATATACATGTAATGCTGAAAAATAGCAAAAAAAAGCAATTAATTGAATGAAAATAGCTCAATTAGCGCTGCAGCTAATAATCGCTGCAGCGGTCCGTTCCTGAGTTTTTGCTGCAGCGATTATTCGCTGCAGAAGTTTCGAATGGGTTAAAAATAACAAACAAACAAACAAACAAACAAAACCAAAAAAGCTTATGACTTGAAAAAAGTCAATGAAGTGACATGAATGAATCAAAAAAATTTACTTTTTTTGACTCATGACATTGCGAAAATTGACATTGCGTTTTTCTTAAAAGGGAAGAAAATAGGATGTGATCAAATGAGATAAGCCATAAACCATTCGACCCAAAATTTCATGCTCATTCCGAATCTGCTTTCCGTTTTTGCAAAATGACTTTTTCTATTCATTAAAAGAAAAAAGATAAAAGATACTTTATTCAACATGAATCAGTGGATACAACACAACGGAGGACACAATTTTTACCCCCGACAATGTAGTTAAGAAAAAACCCAACTTAATGGGAAAAAGAACACACTTGATTTTGCCAGCGAGATCGAAACCTCGACTTTCCGATTAGGAGACAAGACTCCTAACCAGTCGGCCAACTGGATATTTTTTAGATTCATTGACGAATAATATAGTAAATATTTCTTTCTTTCCATTAAATATTTCTTGCAATAAAACCCTCACCTTTTGTTTCTTGGGGTCGTGGTGGCAGTTCCATTTTTAAGTTTCTATGGGTATGGAAATTTTAATGTAATTTAGTCTAACCCTGATACCTCTGACACCTCTTCCCACACCTGACGCTTCCCCTACCCCTCTCATGGTAGTGGCGATCATGGTGGCTCAAAAAACTCATGTAATTGAGAGTCATGAAATCGGGAAAAAGTGAAAAAATATCAAAAATTTCCCAGCACAAAATATTCACTTTTCAACAATTTATTGCAAACATATAATAAGCAAACAAGCTTAACAACAAAAAAATTAATAAACAACTTCCCTAAGGTACATCGTGACATCGACTGTTGCACAAAACGTTCGCCTTGTGGCATACACATCGACCATTTACGCATCCAAACCCTCATCTGGTACTGGTTGCAAATCGATCAGATCCACTTGGGCCCGCTCGTTTTGTTGTTTGGTGATGATTGGCTTGACAACGACTCCTTTTTTCGGCGTGCCTTTCTTCAATTCACATTCAGGACAGAATTTGACAAAAATCTCGATGATATCCACTAGAGCCACTAGAAATTTTTTGGAAAATTAAGGAGAACTGGCTTTTTTTTTTTGAACACTCTGTAGGGATTAGAACCTTGACTTTCCAGGGGGACAATTATTATTTATATTTATTCTAAAAATGAAGAAAATTTACTTGTCTCCAAATGGATTATAAACTTTAGAAAAGCAAATTGGAGGAAACAAATCTCAATAATCATTTGGTTCAATGATTGTTTCATAGATTCCTGTCGACTGGAACACTGTTAATTCAACAGTGAATGCCGAGAATCCATCCGAATTTATGGCCGACTAAGAAGTTTATTTTGTAAATTATGAAATTTGTGCTTTAGACTAAAGAAATAAAAAAAACCACAGGGTAATTGCCTGAGTGCTCTGGAATGACTAGCTTGAAATGCTCCTTTACAAAGCTTTTACAAAGCAAAGCAAAGAGTTTAACAGTCGGAGTCCCTCTCCCACCGCCTTTTTCGTCTTCCTCCTAAAGTTTTGCCTCTGGACCACTCAAAAGTTTGCTAGTGCACCAAAAAAGGTGCTTTTACAAGCAATTTAAGTGGGAAATTCAAGATTCCCGATCGTTGTTTGCTTATAGAGATTTTAAGACCTCAAAGTCCAAAATTTGCTCCGTATGCAAGAAATCATTTGTTTTCAAAATTTTGAGTGTCAAAATTTCTCCCAGATTCAATTACCTTTTACAATTACTTTTCGGCGAATCACCTATGCCGAAAATGGTCGAAATTTAGAAAATTTTCGCGTCGAGGAGTCGAACCAGCCACCCCCGTTCGATTGAGAGACGGACACGGCAGCTACTCGGCCATTCAAAGAGAATCCTGCCCCCCTTTAAAGCGCCTCTTCAAAGTCTCCCTTCAAATTTTATCTTTACAGCGAAACAATAAAAGCCCTGTCACGTTAAACGTAAAAATTTCAGAAAACGAAAAAGTAGTAAAATGTTTTTTTTTGTGGGTTGTTAAACGATGGTTCCAGTCAAGTGATCCGTATAATTTGAAAGAGCAAAAATCGAACAAAATCAAACATTTTTAAGAAAAGATTAGAAAATGCATTTTCTAATCTTAGTTTTTATGCTAATCTTGTCTCTATCTGCTGAAGTCGTCAATTCAGTTGAAAAAAGATTGGCTTTAATGAAGAAACTTTTTCCCGAATCTCCAGGTAAATGCAAAGCTCAAGGTTTTGATAGTTTTGAAAAGAATTTATTGTTTCTTTTTGTTCACAAATTCAAAATCAACTTTCAGAAGTCGACGCCTTTCAGCTGTTGAGCATTTCGAACCAAAAACGAGCACAAACAGTGAACAAAGCTGACACATTTGATCAGGTTTCTATCTTGATAAAAGCAAAATGTTTACCTTAGAAGCTATGCTATAAAAGAGAGCTTTTTTAATTTTTAGTGGCTTGAAAAAATTCATATTGATGATCGAAAACTCTACGAGAAAATCGTGGAAGTGAAGAAAAAATTTGAAGAAGCACACGATGGACTTGGGCCAAAGGAAAAAGATTTTATGAACAAGGTGAGTTTATCAATTAAAACTATTAAAAAAACAAATAACTAGCTAAGATTTTAAAGCTAAAAAACTCAATACTAGTATATATATGCCTTATTTAGGGGGCGAATAGAAGTGAATCAGATAATCATAACCGCATATAACATATTGCTACAATACTTTCACAAAAAAAGAAAGAAAACTAAAAGTAGTAAAGTAAGACTAGTTAGGAAGGACAGGTACAAATTAAATATTAAAGAATAATCATATTTTATTCATGAAAAAGAGCATTTAAATAAAAAAAAGGAGCCGCTTTTGGTTAAGAAGACAGAAAAGTACAGAAAAGATAGAAATTTAACTTTTTATTTAAACTTTTGTAATAAAAGTTGAAAAATTAAGTGAAATTCAAAATGAAGGGATAATAAATAAGGAAGGAAAATGAATACAAGGGAATCAAATTAAACTATTATATTAATTAAATTAAGGAATTAAATTACTATTATATATGTCGCAGCCGCTCGTGATTTTCAGCCGCTAGTGATTGAATCACCATCGGCTAGCCGATCGTGATTGAAAGTTTTTTTAATGAAACATTTGGAATACAATGCAGATTTATCTCACATGCAAATAAAAAAGTTAGGTTAATAGGACCAAATATTTTAACACCTCGGGAGGTAACTTCTGTTGTCAAATTGTTGCCTTCTGTTGCTAAATCTTTTTAAAAAGATGTTTTCGAAAAAATTTTTAATACAACGCCACTCATTCCATCTTTTAGACACAAACTATTACTTTCTTCGGTGTTTAATGAGTAATAATTTTTATTTTAAGTAATAGTTGAGTAATAATTTTTCAATTGCTTCTTTTTTTCGATTTATCTCGTGTATCGTTGCAACTTTTCTAGTTATTTTTTTAGAAATAGAAAGTAAATTTGTCGATCACCTTACGCAATATCAATCGAAAATTGGATTCCTGATGCCACAAAACACGCCGAAATGGTGAAAACCATCAAACAAATAACCAGTGAAGATACGAAAGGAAAAAGTACCCCTGAAGAAATAAATTTGTTGGTGCGCTTTACTTTGCAGAAGGAAAACGATCTGGGCATCCTCTCCAACATTGGAAGAACCGAATAAATGAAACGAGTGATCATCAAGGAAAATTTCTTTGAACTGATGATGAAAATACACAAGGATCATAAACACGCAGGACGGGACATAATGTGGAAAGCACTAAGAGAATATCATGGAATATCTAAGGATATCATCGAGATTTTTGTCAAATTCTGTCCTGAATGTGAATTGAAGAAAGGCACGCCGAAAAAAGGAGTCGTTGTCAAGCCAATCATCACCAAACAACAAAACAAGCGGGCCCAAGTGGATCTGATCGATTTGCAACCAGTACCAGATGAGGATTTGGATGCGTAAATGGTCGATGTGTATGCCACAAGTCGAACGTTTTGTGCAACAGTCGATGTCACGATGTACCTTAGGGAAGTTGTTTATTAATTTTTTTGTTGTTAAGCTTGTTTGCTTATTATATGTTTGCAATAAATTGTTGAAAAGTGAATAAAACTTGTAATTCATAAAGCAAAAATATTAAGCAAAATTTACTTTCAGTTAGATGACATAATTTTTCGAATTTGGCAACAGAAGTTACCTCCCGAGGTGTTAAAATATTTGGTCCTATTAACCTAACTTTTTCATTTGCATGTGAGATAAATCTGCATTGCATTTTAAATGTTTCGTTAAAAAACTTTCAATCACGATCGGCTAGCCGATGGTGATTCCATCACTAGCGGCTGAAAATCACGAGCGGCTGCGACATATATATATCTGCTCATTCAGGGGGAGAATAGAAGCAAATCAGATAATCATAACCGCATATAAAATATTGCCACAATACTTTCACAAAAAAGAAAGAAAACTAAAAATGGTACAGTAAGACTACGGTTAGGAAACACAGGTACAAAAAGATTAAATATATGTACCCAACTTTTAACAGACTTTTTCAACCATGTGGACACAACTCGTGAATGACGCTCAAAGGAACGAAAATAATGTTGAGATTGATGAAGAGGGACTTTTTGGGAAGGAAAAGGTTCAATTAATTGTAGAAGCTTTTAGAAATTTGTCAATAAATTAAATAGATTTAAAGTTTTTCAGGGACGAGAGCTGTTGAGACAATATAAATCACTTCCCGAAAGATCTAGAAGAGCGATGAAGAAGAAATTTCCCATTCTTAGCATTATCCTCTTCATTTCGGCGAGAGATCAGAAAAATTGAAAATAAAATGCTTTTGAAATTTAGGGCTATAGTTTTCATGTAGTTGTATATCGATAATCACTTGAGTCTCATGTCATTCAAGCTGAAAATTATTGACCGCCTCTATAAGGGTTGTAATTTTTTTGAAAACCTGTCCATGAAGATAAATTTTATTGTAAAACAATGGAAATAATCTATAAAACAAAAAAAAGGCTAATAAAACTCGGTTTGACGGGGGTGGGACAATGCTAGCTTTTTTTTGCGCACCTGGACATTTGCGCACCTTTTTTTTGCTGGAAAAGGCCTTAGGAAAAGTCGTAGAGCTTCGAAAATATTTCCATATAAGGGAATCGTATGCGTAGATTCCGAATTTCGACAAATCAGACCTCGCTGACACGTCAAATTTGGGCTAAAAGGCAAAAACTACGCAACTTAACGCTTTTCCGCAGTTTTTGCCTTTTAGCCCAAATTTGACGTGTCAGCGAGGTCTGATTTGTCGAAATTCGGAATCTACGCATACGATTCCCTTCTATGAAAACATTCTTGAAGCGCTACGATCTTTCCTAAGGCCTTCTCCAGCAAAAAAAAGGTGCGCAAATGTCCAGGTGCGCAAAAAAGGTAGCATTTGTCCCACCCCCGTCCATGAAGATAAATTTTATTGTAAAACAATGGAAATAATCTATAAAACAAAAAAAAAGGCTAATAAAACTCGGTTTGACCTTCTTTGACTCGAAAGACTCGTGAAGATCACTCGTGATCCCTACGCCGCAGACAATCTTCATTAAAATCGTCTAAATCTGATAAAGCTTATATGAAAATCATTTCAAATCTTTATTTTAGTCATATTTCAATAGCGCTTTATTTTAATTTAGCAAAATAAGGCTTGTGAAGCGGGTAAATTAAACAAATTGCTCTCGGTTTTGCACAGTCTAAGCGTTATGAGCAGGCACCTAATGAAAGACGATATGAATTGACCTCAAAATAGAAATCTTTTCAAAAAAATTAAGCCAAAGATGACCTTTTTAAATAAAATATCACTCAAATAAAGATTTGAAATGATTTTCATATAAGCTTTATCAGATTTAGACGATTTTAATGAAGATTGTCTGCGGTGTAGTCTTCACGAGTGCATCCGACCAAAAGAAGATCAAACCGAATTTTATTAGCCTTTTTTTTTTGCTTTTGTGCATTATTTTCATTGTTTTACAATGGAAATGTTTTGCAATTTCACAAGTTTTCAAGAAAATTCCAAGGCTTATACCCTGAACTGCCTTAGTCAATAATTTTCACGCAAAAAATATTAGCTGTACTTTGTTTTCGAAAATGGAAATGTCAAACCCATCGCCAAATCATCTGTTTTTGACAATTTAATCAGATTTCCTATAAACTTTCCTTGAAACAATTGAAAAAAAAGTTCAAACGCAAAAGATTTACACTAGATAAAAGGATTTTTCGTCAAAGAAAATGTTTTGACATCAACACATTCAACTCTAAAAAAAAACAAAAAACGAATGACTCACGAGTATCAGATTCTATGCACAAAAAGCGTGTCGTAAAGTCTTAAAGTTTAGTAAAGTTATTGAAAAATGAAAGTTTAAAGGGTTTAAAACTTCAAGCACAAATCGGGGCGTAAATCGCCTACTAAAAAAGAAAAAGGTAAGCTCGGATTGCACACGGGAAAGTTGGGTGGTAATAGCATAGGACTGGAAGAATTTTCCTCAAAAAAACAAACAAAAACCTAGAACATAAATTCTATAAGGGATCTAAGCAGCGGATTTCACATCAGGAGTCGGCTCGTCGATTTCTTTCTTTGGCGGTTGTTTGTCAACGAGGGCAAGTGTTTGTCGGCCCTTTGCCGCCACTCGACCATCACTCTTTCTCCTGGAAAAAGAAATTTTCTAAAGGAACTGGTTATTTTAGTTCTAAAATTTACCTTAATGTAAATAAGCAGTGTGTACAAAGTCAGATTCAACTAAAGCCAACTAAAAACTAAAAGAACTATCAGCGTTTCCCTAGATTAGTAGCTCGTTTAAATGTTTGCTATTTACTTTGATGTTAATTTTGAAAGAATAAGTCTTAGGCTTAAAGATTGGAAATCAAATAGCCTACAAAATTATATATTAGCCTTATTGTGGCTATTAAAAGCTCAATTTCATCTCACAAATAGTCTAAACTATGTTTGATTTATCTACTTTCTGTGGCTATTAAAAGCTCAATTTCATCTCACAAATAGTCTAAACTATGTTTTATCTACTTATTGTGGCTATTAAAAGCTCAATTTCATCTCACAAATAGTCTAAACTATGTTTGATTTATCTAGCTACGAGCTTAATGATAAATTAATGATGATAATTTATGATAATATCCATACCTGAACTCAGCCTCGACAAAAGCAGTGGTACGACCGATTCGGAGAACATTTGTGGTCACTTCGACAGTGTCCCCACGAGAGACAGGCAACATATAGCTAAAAACAAGTAAATCATGTAGGTAATGAGGTTTATGAATAGCATGAAGAGCTATAAAATATCTAAACTTGATACCTGGCGGACATATCAACGGAGAGGACATTCTTTTGTGGTACTGAGAGCATCACCGTGATTGCCGTTAATACATCCAACAGGGCCATTGTCGCCGCTCCGTGCAAGGTACCCTGAAAAAGATAAATAACAATAAGAATAACAATACTATCTTCGGATCATTGTCTAGTCATAAATTTATATCAAAGTAAAAGTGAAAGATGCTCACATATCCATTGACAGATTCCTCATCAATTGGCATCTCAAAGACACAACGCTCCTTTGAAGCAAAGATTGGCACTACCTAGAAATCGATGGAATCACTGGGTTTTTAAACGTTTAGAGATTTTAGAATATGAATGACTATTTAAAATATAGCAATGACATTTAAAAACTTTAAGAACTCAACAATTAAGCAACAATAATCTTTAAATGACGTTAAATGTTTAGATAAAGCTCTAGTTATCGGAAAACGAATGTAAAACCAAATAGCACTTACACTTTTCAAATTTCTATTGTAGTTTTTCGAGTTGTGCAAATGGGAGAACCATTGTTGGAGTCGATCCATATCGGCGGACGTCGATTGGATTTCGTTCTCATTTTGTGGGCTTTGCGGGGCCATTGAATCGTCTAAAATAGAAAAAGTTAGTCAAAAATCGTCTGAAATCAAAAAAAGTTAGTAAAAATGGTCTGAAATCAAAAAAATTTAGTCAAAAAGTCGTCTGAAATCGAAAAAAAAGTGGGGTGATTGAGTAAAAGCGATGACTTTTAAAAGAAAGAATAACGAAAAGACTGACCGCTAAATTGTGTCCAAAAAGATAAACTACAAATGATGCCAATGGCGCTATTGCCTTTCATTTTCAAATTTCCTCGAAAATTCGAGTGCAATCAGCTGTTTTCTTTCACCTTTACTTCCAAAGCGATAAAATTGTATAATTTTTTCAAGTATAACTAAACTTTTAGTTCTTTTCGAAACCCTCAGATGGATGACTCATTTTGTGTAAACGATTTGGAGCTGACTTTACTATTGTGGAGACTTTATGCACCAAAATTTGACAATCGAACTTTTATTCGAGATGAAGAGCTGAAAGCTGTGAAAAGTCTGGAAGAGGTGAGAAAAAGGATTTACTTTGTGCTCATCGAAACGTACAGCTTCTGGTCACTCAGTTCTTCGTTTTTAAGCCAATAAGTAAGACAATGCTAGAGTAAAATGGATTAGGTGCGCGAGAAAGAGTATGTTGCTCTTTTGGGCACAAAGTATGACTTGAAAATGAATGACTGGTAAATCGTTTTAAAGATAGGATCTATTTTTAAAGTACTTCAAGTCAGACTTTAAAGATCTATAATTTTAAAATCTATGATCTATGATCCCATTCAATGGTTAGAACGATAGGATCAGACTTTGAAGTACTTCAACTCAGACTTTAAAGATCTATAATTCAAAATCTATGATCTATGATTCCATTCAATGGTTTTAACGATAGGATCTGTTTTTAAAGTACTTCAAGTCCTTGATCTATAATTCAAAAAATTTCAGAACATCAACTACCACGAGAATTGGCGAATCGACGAGCAAACTTGTAAAGAGGAATTGTCAAAAATCATTCACAATGAAAAGGTGGTTTAAGTGAAAATCAAAATGATTCAAATGTAATTTAAGTGAAGATCAAAAAGTTTTTCTGATTTGAAGTGTCATTTTTGACTCAAAAAAAATGTGTTGGGATGCTAGACAAGTTTTTTTTTCTTTTGATGATTTCATCTCGGAGATTTTTATCTGGTTTCAAAACGATCACGCACTTTATAGTTTGAGCTGGAAAAAAGGGGTAATTTTTGTGTTCAAAGCAGAACAGTGATTGATGTACTTTGAACCGAAAAAATTGGAAACACGTACTGAATCCTTTTTCTCAATAAAACGCTATTACTGAAAGGTAAACAAATGGCTTGAGCGTGCTAGAAAAGATGAATTTTGATGAATGCTGCTAATTCCATTGTACAAATGAATCCAAAGTACATCCATAATGCTAATTCCATTGTACAAATGAGTCCAAAGTACATCCATAATGCTTATTTCATTGTACTTTTTAGATTCTCTCCTTTCTGAAAAGTTGCCAAGATGAGAAGTCTCCGAAAAAGATCAAATTGAAGGATCTTCAACTAGCCTTTTCGCAAGAAGCTTTTGAAAAATTCTCAAAAAGACGCCCAAATGGAGAAGTGAGAAAAGAAAATTAAAAAAATAAGAGAAATTTTAGAAAACGAGTCACTTACCATTCTCAAAGTTATCAATCCGATGTGCGGCTGAAAGAGAACGATGCTGGATTGATGAGACTTTTGGAATCGATATCGAATCGATTCCATTTCCGAAAAACAAGAGAATTGATAAAGATGTGGTAAGTTGATCTAGAGTAATGAAAGCTACCGTAAATACTGTAATAGTACCCCACCGCCCTCGTACAGTCGCGTAGTCGCAAAAGTTTTTTAGTATTTCATTTTTTTCAAAGCGCCCGTACTTTTAAAAAATGCGTCTTTGGTATCAAAAAATAGCTGAAATTCAGGGCTATTTTTTTGATACCTAAGCGCCATTGTAGCTTAAACCAATGTCGAGAAAAACTCGTTCAAAGCTAGACTACACAACACTCCGCACCGTCATTATCTTTGGCATCAAAAAATAGCTGAAATTCAGGGCTATTTTTTAATACCTAAGCGCGCATTTTAGCATAAACCAGTGTCGAGTAAAACTCGTTCAAAGCTAGGCTACGTAACGCTCCGCACCGTCATTATGGGGATGGGGTACTATTACAGTATTTACGGTATGTAATCTACAAAGATCTACACCTACAAAGTTTTTAAATTCAAAAATAGCCCTTTTTCTTTTGGTTCTTTTGTAATTGATAGTAGATTTTTGAATAACAAATCTTCAACTAATAGGCTTTTAAAAAAACTTTATTGATTGCTGTTAGAAGAAAGATTTTAACAAAGGTACAGAGTCGAGAACTCGAGCTTCTTTGTGGAATCCTCTCAGCTGCACTCGATCAACGAGATGTTTGGTCGGCTTGTCGTTTACTTCAAACGATTGCCCCAAAATCTTTGCCGAAGCTAAGAAAACTGGCTACTGAAAAGAAGATGAACATTATTCAGGTAGTAAGAATTTTCTTAGAATTCAATAATTCTTAACAAGTTTTGCTTTATTTAGACTCTTTTCTCATGCACATCAAATGCTGAAGTGGAAGGCTCAAGTTGTGAGGATTTCTCGAGCGATGATGCCGCAATCTTGCAAGCGTTGGATCGAACCGTTGATCAAATCCAAGAACATGCTCACTCAGCAACAACTTCAAAGTAAATTGAAGCTGTTATCAGCTGTTATCAGCTGTTTTCATCTCTGTTGTACCTTTTAGATATGCTGTTTCACAAGCTATTCATTGTGCCTCTCAATTCGCTCAAAGATTGGATGATTTCCGTAACAGTTCCGGGAGGATCAAGGCTGCTGCTAGAGCACTCAATAGTCAATTAACGATTGTTGAGAAGTTGCATGAGAATTTGAAAGATCAAGTCAACAATGGGTATCAGGTGGGTACAATTTAACTCAACTTTTGTTCATAAACTTTTTAGGAACCATCCAAGTACATCACTTCCGTTCATACGCTTGTCCGGAGTCTCTTTGACAGAATTTATGCTTCAGAAGCTATAGAAATTTTCCAAGACACTATGACACCCGCATTCAAGTGAGAGTTAAAATTTGAGTGTAATAGACACAAATATTTTAAATAACCTCTAAAAATTCAAGGCTAGAAGCCAAGTCAACTCTTAACGACTAACTATTAACTGATTATTATCTTAACAAAATTCAGGACCCCTGGAAGCTCCTCAAAGAAAACTCCTCAAGCCAAACAGACTCAAAAATCTGCAACAACTTCTGAAGTTGTAAAAGAATCTGAACAGGAAAAAACTCCCACATCTCGACACACTCTTGGATTATTTTTGAAGTATGATATGAACTACCGTATTGCTACCGTCTCTTACCACGTCTCTTACCACTCTTACCACTGAAATACCGTCTTTTACCACTGAACTACCGTATTCTCTTACCACTTTCGTCTCATCACAAACACTTTCATAGAGATTTCGATAAGAAGAAACCAAAAAAGGCAATCGTCAAGCCAAGATGTGTCTAGAAAGTTGCTGTGTTTAAGTAGTTGATATTACAAGAGTTAAGAGTTTAAATATTACAATATTGTACTTGATATACCGTATTTTCTCTAATAGTAGTGCGTCCCGCCGAGTTGATGACTATTTTACGGCTTTCAAAGTTTTCCCAGAAGCTCAACACTCTAATCCCTCACTAGATCTCATCGTCAGCTACATTTTCCGATCCCACATCAATAGGTTCTGATAAGCGATTTTCGAGATTTCAAGCAATTTAGGCAAAGGGTGCACTACTACTTAGAGAGAATACAGCAGATTTTAATCATTTTTTCAGCAATTCAACACCTACTCCAATTCGAACTACAGTTGAAGCTTTAATGGATCCGTTACTCGATATTGAAGACGATGAGTCAGAAAGTGAAGGAAATAAAACGATAGAAGAGGATAATGAAAAAATTAAGAAGGTTGGATAACAATTTGTTAACAAATAATTGTACAAAGTTGGGCAAAATTATCCGGCCAACTTGGAAATGTCATCGCACACTTATTTTATTTCGAAATCTCAAATGTTATATAGGGAATTGTAGCCCTTAATCTTGGCTATATTTATCTATAAAAAACTTCTCAATCGGATTTATGCAACTCATTTTACAAGTCCTTGAATGAGCACTAGTCGATTCCTATCGCGATGCTATTTTTGATGATTTTCTACATAAAAATTTCATTTAAAAAACCTTTATGTAGTCAATTTTGTTTAAAAAAATTATTTTCAATAATTTTATATCACTATAACAGTTATATATAGAATACTCATATGTAGAAAATCATCAAAAATAGCAGCGCGATAGGAATCGACTAGTGCTCATTCAAGGACTTGTAAAATGAGTTGCATAAATTCGATTGAGAAGTTTTTTATAGATAAATATAGCCAAGATTAAGGGCTACAATCCCCTATATAACATTTGATATTTCGAAATAAATTAAGTCTGCGATGACATTTCCAAGTTGGCCGGATAATTTTGCCCAACCTTGTATTTTCAACTATTGGATATTAGAATAATTACATAATAAACTTCAGAAAGAATTCAAGAGATTGAACAAGCGAAAATCTTTAAACGAGACACCAGAAGCGCGGCCAGCAAAAGCGATTCGAAGACGAGAGAATGAAAAAACAACGAAGAAAGCTTTACCAACAAATCAACGAACTTTGTTATCATTCTTCAGTAACAAATAGATTCTAATTGTTTGTTTAAAAATAATTTTTTGCAATCTGAAACATAGATTTATTCAATGTTAAATCCTTTCTTGCATTGTCTAGTAAAAATTTTCTTTCAAAAGCCTTTTAAACCTTCAAAGTATAGCTTAAACAATTCACTTATTATTGTGGCAAATTGCCACTGCTCTGCAGTTAGTCAAAAATTCAATACACAAGTTAAAATTCAAAGTTGATGGATAAACTACCGTAATCAGTCATTAGACGATATTCAGCTGTCCGTTTGTTGTAGCTTGTATACTTAAAAACCGGTTATTTAAGCTTTGCTTTTTGAGTGAGTCTTGTTCTCCTTTTTTGTTTTTTATCATCCTTTTTTTCACATGCAAGTGTTGAATTAATTGTGATAGTGTCAAGTTGCTCCAGTTTAAGCGAAGTTGCCCTAATACGGGAAAGTTGGATAAATTGTGCGTTTTCAAGAGGACCACTATTGAACCACACCGAGACACGGTCTCACAAGAAATTATATAGATCAAAACATCAACATGCATTTCTTACAATTATCTAACTTTCGTCTTTTATCTTTTAAGTTTAAAATAAGACTTTTAAAGTTACAATTTTTTGTTAAATGATTCGTTTATAATAAAAAAAGTCTAGTCAACTCGTGAAAATTGAAATTTTCTCAAATCACACAAGCAGAGAACTAAATGGTTTCACTTGTGAGCACATAAAAAATGCTCAGAAATCTCTCTCTTTTTGTTTTTATGAATGCAAATTACGAGTTCTAGAGAGATTGGGATTTTTTTTTGAGAAATCTTTACTAATTTGTTGAAAGGTTTACTTGAAACTGAAAATTTTCATTTTAAAATTCATTAAAAATGAAAATTTCAGTGATACTTTTATCAATTTCACTTTTTATTCCAATATGTCCACAGGTTTTTTTGAAAAAGATTTTAGTAAATTATTATTTAATAATTAGATTTTATTACCCTATGGAGGGTTACCAGTGTTGCAGATGAAGAATTTGCTTCTATTATCGTATTACTTGCCAACATCACAATCAACCGGAGCTTTAGTCATCTTTTTGAAGAAACTCGATGATCAAGTAATGCGAAATGTTTTTAGAGAACTTTAAAAACTAAATTTCTTTACTATTTTTTCAACCTTCTCTCGGATCGCAATACTATTAGAGAGAATACGGTAATAGATGTAATATATGGGTAGCACAGATAACGTCAATGATCCACTAGAGATTGTCAGAGATCCACTAGATTGCTAACATAGCAAAACAAAAACTCATTGTGTAGCAAGATAATCTTCAAAAGATTTGCTCAAAGTAATGACTTGACTTGACTCTTTTCTTTGACTTTAAATTTAAATAAGTAAATAAAAAGCTATCAATTAGAAGTTAGGCTAAAGTTAGGCTAAAATGGTGTTAAAAGCTGTAAACTAAACATTGATTCAGATCCGACAAGCTTCAAAAAAGTCCACTGATTACGTGGTGCAAGGAAGCGAGGATGCGCTTCGACACGTCGCAGCTGGGAGTGGATATTTTGATAATCCGGTAATAGATAAAGTTATGGAACTTAAAACATGTCTCAATTCAGCACAAAGTTCGAAAACATCCAATCGTTTTCACCGGCATAGCGGCAATCGCAAATAAAACGATTCATCAAGAGGCGAACAATGCTCTAAGAAAGTTTGTTTTAATTTGAAATTTGAAAATTTTCTAGGATTTTATTTTAGAACTTGTGTGACTTTGTTTGTGTGACTTTTAAGCGCTTTTATTTTTAGAATAAACAGTGCCACAAATGACGCACTCGCTAGAATAAACTATGGGAAGAATATGGCGATTCGAACTCTGCAAGACACCATTTCTCCATACGATGTTCACCATAAAATGAATGTTGTTGTCGGAAGATTACAGGTGAAATTGGATAAAGATTGTTGATGATTTCAAGTAAAGGATGACTTAATAACAGTTACAGTAATATTAAAAGTTATCATAGAAACTTACCAGTAAAGTAGTTGAGCAGTCTCCTTTTGTGTCCCACTTTAGGTTCAGAAACAATTATTGGACTAAATCCTTGTCTTTCTTTAGTTATTTCAAATCAAATCAAATTTCTAGTAACTCTAAAGACTCTAGAGACTCTAGAAAAGCTTTAGAAGATCTCTAGAGACTCTAGAAGATCTCTAGAAGATCTCTAGAGACTCTAGAAGATCTCTAGAGACTCTAGAAGATCTCTAGAAGATCTCTAGAGACTCTAGAAGATCTCTAGAAGATCTCTAGAGACTCTAGAAGATCTCTAGAAGATCTCTAGAAGATCTCTTATTCTTCTAGAAAGTTCTAGAAGTCATAGAAACGCCTTAGCGTTTATCCATCAACTTGAATGCAAGAATAACTGTATTAAATTATGTATTAAATGAAAGAAAACAGATTAAACAGATATAACCAACTTTATAGATAGATGAGTACCTAATTCTACTCATCTTTTAACTGTACAACACTTTTGTTTTAGCGTGACATTGAGAAATGCGGTGATCACCTCTTAGACGCTCTCAAGCACTTCGCAATCACTATCGACGAGTTGATCATGAAATTTGATGAAACCGGAGCTTTGTAATGCTCATTTCTAAACTTTTCTCTTCTTTTATCGATTTATCATGTATATAAATCAATCATAAAACTTAATTATGGCTAAGGCGGCATAATCACATAGAAATCTTCAAGTTTCATTAATACATATGATTTTTTTAAAGCATTGAAAAGCATTTCAAAGTTAAATAGATGAAGAAAATAAATGAAATCAAAGAGTTATCAAAGTCAAATAGATGAAGCAACTTCCATTTCACCAAATGCCATGTAGAGAAGATTGTTCTCAATATCAATCACGTCATTCGAGCAAGTTCCGTTTGAAAGAGCTGAAAAGTTTTCAATTTCTGAGCTAGTTTTATAAAACTGATTTAACTGGTTGATTTTGATTCAACTTCTTAGACAATTAGATAGAATTAGATAGACAATTAGATAGACAATTACAAGGCTCTAGTCTGGCTCTAGAACTGAAACTTTTTCATTGATCTTTAAAGCTTTTACAATTTTTGAATCAACTTAATCAACAATCAATGAGTCAATCAATCAAATCAAGTAATATCAGGCAACCAGTTAATACCTCAGAACTCTACTCACCTCCAATTACATCATTCCACGAGTACTTTTGTACATTCTGTAGAAGCCACCAGTGTTTTGCCGCCACTTCCACGCTCACTCGTTGCTCAGGATCTTTTTCCAGTAACCATGTAATCAATTGTCGTGCACCTGAATATTTTGTTATATAAAAAGAAGTTTCTGGATCTTATAGCTAAACCTTATTATGTAAAGAAATGGATTTTAGATCTAAATTGGCTCAATCATAAAAAAAACCATTGCTAAATCACTTCCTCAATCATAAAGATATCATTCTAGTACACTGTTCACTTTTCTTTTAACAATAAGTAATTGAATTCTTTTCTTTTCTTTCTTGGTGTACCAGAAATGTTGCGTTTACGTTCCTATTTAGTTCCTTTTACGCTCCTTTAAAGCTCCTTTAAAGCAAAGAAAGAAAATCTATTTAAATCAATAAGCTCACCATCAGAAATCCGATCAGGCAGCACGATTTCTTTACTCTTAATCTCTTCTGTCGAGTGAAACGGGATATCAAAAGTTGACAAAGTGTACAATAAAATTCCCAGCTGCCAGGACTCGACTTCAGGACCGTTAAAGCTAAAACCATTTATAGAGAATATCAAACTTTTCCAAACCTTAATCCTTCAATGACTTCAGGTGGTGAATAGAGAAGAGTTCCTTGAAGAGAATCAAATACCACCGAGCCATCAAATTGAGCAACAGAGCCAAAATCGATGAGCTCACAATGGAATGATGAATCAATAACGACATTTTCATCCTTGATATCTCGATGCAAGAATCCTAAGGAGTGTAGGTGGCAAGTTGCGGCTAGAACCTGGAAATCGATGAAAAGGTTATCGGACCTTTTTCCATTAGCAATCTCAGAGCTCAAATTATCTTGGTGTTGAGCTTTTCAATTTAAATGTTCTTGGTATCTTTAGATTCGTCAAGTCTTTCTCTATCGATTGATACAAAAACTATTTCAATTCTTCAATTGAACAGCCCAACAAGAAGAAATTTAAGCTTAAAGTTGGATTAACAATGGTAAAGAAGCTATTAAATGTTTACAATGGTAAAAAATCACTACTGCAATCTGTCAATTCTATTCCGCACATTGGTACACTAGGGAAGGTCTGTTTTCAACTTGAAAGAAAGCCTAGAAGTGAAAAAATTGATTTTAGCTTGAGTCTTCAGATAGGTTTGAGCAGCTTTGTTTATCAGTACCTGTCTAAATATGTGGCATATCAATCCATCATCCAATTTCGGCCTCAACTCTAAGAACTCATAGAGATCCATTGAATTTTGTCGATACTCCATCACAAGCGAGTACCAGTAAGGAGATTCAAAAGCATCGATTAACTAAAAGTTCTATTTATCAACAATAAAGTTCATTATTTGATCAGCCCGATCTGGGTCTCCATAGCCGACTGGATAAGAGCCTTGTATCTTAGTCAGAGGATCAAGGGTTCAATCCCGTCAGGTGCTTTTTCTTTTTCTCGCTTACCAGTAAGGAGATTCGAAAGCATCGATTAACTAAAAGTTCTATTCATCGAGAATAAACTTCATTATTTATCGGGCTGGGCATGGGTCTCCATGGCCGACTGGATAAAAGCCCTGTATCCCAGTCAGAGGATGAAAGGTTCAATCCCGTCAGTTGCTTTTTGATTCTTTTTTCTCACTTTTTCTTCCCTACATTTAAAATCGTGCTTTTCTTTTGTTTTTACCGATTGAATAAATGCATTTTTAAAACTCACATGTGTAATATTTGGATGTCTCACAGTTTCCATCACTTCCACTTCAATTGGCACCATTTTCCCCCTAGTTGACGAGCGAATCCAACCATCACAAGGGATCAACGATTTCCGCAGAAATTTTGTCACTGTCTGAAAGTAAATGCAATTCTAAACTAGTAAATTTTCCATTTTTCAACCTCCACATACCGATAAAGTTAGTTTTCTTCAAAAGTTGATTTGAAAAGAACAAGGAACTCAAGATAATTGAGAAATAATCGAATTTTCTTAACGCTCACCTCTTTCCCATCGAATTTTCTTCGACTAAGACGAACAAATCCGAAAGATCCCTGACCGAGTTCTTCTAAAGCGTCATAGTGTTGGGAATACTCTCCGCTTGGACCCTCTTCATCCATTAGACTGGAAATTTCATTGTTTCATGTTGAAAGAAAATAAGGAAATGGAAATGTAGGAACAATGTCGTCTAAGTCTTGAGAATTAAAAATTCAATTTTATTCTTAATCATGAACAGTATTCTAAAATTTTTGGTCTCAATTAGGCACTTTTAAGTTATAATTTAAAGCTTTAGAATACCGTAAATGATGTATTAGAATGGCCAATCGAAATCTTGACTTTAAACCCCCTTGTGGGGGTTTAAAAGTTAAGACTGGATAGATCTAGACCTAAAACCTACTAATATTTTATCTGCATGAAAAATAATTGAAAAAAGAATTATAAGGGTCCCCCAGGTGGATTTTTTTGGAGATTCAAAGGGGGTCGCGGTTAAGAAAATCATTTTACATGTTTTTTTGTACGTTTTGGATAAAGGGTCATTGTTTTAAATAGTTTTAAACAAATTCTAAATTTTTGATTTATGTGGTCTCCCTGTCGGATTTTAAGGGGTTGAAAAATGGAATAACTAATAAAATAAAATAGAATGACTAATAGAATAGGATAGAATAACTAATAGAATAAAATAGAATGACTAATAAGTTACTGTAAGCTGTATAGCTCACAGTAATGAATAACTTGCTTACCAGAAAAATAAGAAAAAAAAGAAGAGAGAATTGTTTCCAATAAAAGCTTTATTGAAAAACAAAGAAGGAAACCAGTTTTGTTCTAGAACAAAGACCATTAGATTCTTAAAAATGCAGTTATTTTCATCGAGAGAGGATCTCTTTCTTTTGATCAATGCAGAAGAAAATTGCTCTAAAACACGCTGCCAATTTTGGGGTGAAAAAAACAGGAAACGAGAATTGTATAGACGGCTGATATACAATTTTATCAAACTGGATTAGTATTTTAAAGACTTTGAGAGACTTGAAAGTAGTCGAAGTTAACAAAATTTTGTTAGCTGATCGTTTTTAGCCTAAAAAGTTAGCGTTCATTGATTGAGAACATTTCAAAATGAATTCCCAAATCAACTCCTTTTCAAAAGTAAACTCTTTAAAGTAAACTTTGTATAGACGGCTGATAAACAGTTTTATCAAACTGGATTAGTATTTTAAAGAGTTTGACAGACTTGATAGTAGTAAGTAAAACATTTCTAATCAATCAATCAACTACTCTAACCCTCATCAACTCCTTTCTACTAACTAGTAAGTAAAACATTTCTAATCAATCAATCAACTACTCTAACCCAAATCAACTCCTTTTCAAAAGTAAACTTTTCAAAGCTTTCAGTGTTTTTTTTCTGAAAATTAGATTTAGATTTTATAAAATCTGACTTTAAAAAGTTTAGATTTAATATTATTGAAAGATTTTTAGGCAGAAAAATAAGCTTATTCTCGTTTCGTGAGGAGAAAAAGAACTCAAAGAACTTAAAGAAAAGAAAAAGAAAGAGACAAAGAAATTAGATAATCAATTTGAAACTTCTGTAAGTATAACTATAAAATAATACCGTAAATACTGTAATAGTACCCCACCCCCATAATGACGGTGCGGAGCGTTGCGTAGTCTAGCTTTGAACGCGTTTTTCTCGACACTGGTTTATGCTACAATGCGCGCTAAGATATCAAAAAATAGCTGAAATTCAGGGCTAATTTTTTGATACCAAAGACGCCTTTTTTGATGCCAAAGATAATGACGGTGCGGAGTGTTGTGTAGTCTAGCTTTGAACGAGTTTTTCTCGACACTGGTTTATGCTACAATGCGCGCTAAGATATCAAAAAATAGCTGAAATTCAGGGCTAATTTTTTATACCAAAGACACATTTTTTGAAAGTACGGGCGCTTTGAAAAAAATGAAATACTAAACAACTTTTGCGACTACGCGACTGTACGAGAGGGGTGGGGTACTATTACCGTATTTACGGTATGTTGAAATAAAAAATGTAAAACGACAAACTTTATACGATATCTTATTAAAAAGTCTTCAATTTCTTTAATGAAAAAATAAATTTAAAAAATGATTCAATTTTGATTTAAAATCAAGAAAATCTCGAATGACTAGAGATTAGAAATGTAAAAAATTGGATTGGCGGGAGAAGCTCAATATATTGGGAAAAGAATTTTGTCTGCTGAGGCAGCCCCTCATTTGGGAGTAAAAAGGAAAAAGAGATGGGAAGACGAAAAAAGATGGGGATTGACTAACAACAAGAGGAAAGAAGAAGAAAGAAGAAGAAAGAAGAAGAAAGAGAGAAAGAATGGCTGCTCTGGAACATCTTATATAGTAGATTAAAGGTTACATGTTCATAGAATGAAGAAAAATCAGGCCAAAAATGAATTAGAAAATTGATGGACTAGATTTGAGGCTTCTTTTGAATTGTTTATTCAATGTTTTCCAATTTCTTTACCTTTTCCAGAATTAGATAAGAGACTTGAGTTCACTTACTTCTCTTTTATCTTCAATGCTATTAAGTTATTAAAAATGATTGAGATAAGTTCTAGGAAAAGAATGCAAAGAAAATGAGATGACTAATGGAAAAGGGAAAGATGGAGTAGTGAAAGGGGTAGAAAAGGAAAAAAAGGAAATAAAGAATTCTTTAAAACTAAACTACAAGAGTTTGATCTTTCCTAACTCTTGCAGTTTAGTTTTAGAGACTTCTGGGACATCTTAAATAGTAGATTAAAGGTTACATGTTCATAGAATTAAGAAAAATCAGGGTAAAATGAATTAGAAAATTGATGGACTAGATTTGAGATTGTTTTGAATTGCTTATTCTTTAAATAACTAATGGAAAAGGGAAAGATGGAGTAGTGAAATGGGTAGAGAAAGAAAGAAAAGAAAAGGAAGAATTCTCTCAAACTGAACTGCAAGAGTTTGATCTTTCCTAGAAAATGATTCACTATCGAATTTTGGTGAAAAAGTTTAAAACCAAATCTTTTCAGTGATTGAAAAGTGATAACTAGAAGCTATTGGTATTGTTAAACAGAAAATTTATTATTCTTGATTTATAGAATTTTGTAGGCTTTAGAACAGATTAGATTTTATAAAAAAATTTGAAAAAAAAAAGTTTAGATTGAATACTTTTCGATTGTTAGATCGACAATAGACTTATTCTCGTATCGTTTTTTTGAAAAGAAAGAGTTGAATGACTTTTAGAGAATTGAATCGACACTATCGATTGCTTGCAAAAAAAATGAAATAATAATGATTCATAAGGTTTATCAGAGAAGATAATTACAAAAATAACAAAAGGAGAGAATCAGATGATTTCTATAAGAAATCTTATAGATTTAGAGAGAATCAGATGATTTCTATAAGAAATCTTATAGATTTAGAGAGAATCAGATGATTTCTATAAGAAATCCTGAGATTTTGAGATTTTATTCTGCAAAAAATTCAGTCGCTTTTCATATTCAAGAAACGTATCGATGCTTTAGATCTAGTGGCTCTTTGCCGTAAGTATTGGGTTGGGGACTATGACTCGGCGCCAAACTTTAAAGGGACTTTTTGCACACATAAAGCCTTCTTTAAATATACGTTTGGTTTCATCAAAAGGATCCACTATTTCTCTACAAAATGACTTTTGAGAGATTCCACAAAGCTTTTCTTTCGTCGAGTTTATGGACTCCCAAACACAGCTAGTCAAAATGGCAAAGAGCCCGACTCATCATTTGAACAGTTTCTTTCACATAAACCTTCTTTGGTGTTTATATAAAAAAGATAGAGCACATTCAATTACTTAAGTTGCCAAATTTGCAGGAAGATCCCACCAATGGTTTTTTCTAGATCACAGTTTGTAGTTTTTGTGAAAAAATGGCTTTTTCTTGAGCGGAGGCGCTGTTTGAATTTTCTTTTAAATGTCGTTTTGTAGAGAATTAGTTAACCATTCTACTGATATCAAACGCATATTATTTGACGAAGTCGGATAGAAGTTTTAGACATTTTTTTGGTTTTCGGCGCCGAGTCATAGTCCCCAACCCAATAATTGGCTTATTGATTTCAGTATGTATTGTATGATTAAGTATCACTGTGCATTTCTCTATGATTTCTTTCACTTTATCGTTTGAATAAAGTATTATTATTAAAAAGTGAAGAGATTATTGAAGAATAGAAAATTTTATGTTTGATTTTTGAAAAATGAATAGAAATAGATTAAGAAAAGAGTTTTTTCGAATTCTATTCAATCAAGAGAACGTAACGTACGAAAGAACGAACGTAATTGGCAAAATCTTCAGAAAAAATAACTGAAAGAGGGTGAAATTGAATCCAAGATCATAAAAAATACGATTAACCTATGAATTAGATATCTGGGATTAATTAGAATTAAATCTAAATCTAATATTCATTAAATTTCAAATAAAACATTTAAATTTATGAAAGTTTTAAAGCATTTTAGATTAAAAAATCAATGCCAAGCCAGCTGGCTTTTTTTCTTTTCTTTTTCTTTTTTTTAAATAACATTGAAAACGATAGACCTTTTTAAAAAAGATAAATTGTAATTTCAAAAAACATCTAAAGATCTTTAAAGATTGCAGAATTCTGAAGAGTTTATTGGGTTGCTGATGGGGTTGAGGTAAGCAGCAGAAAAAACAGCTAGAGTCTCAAGCCTCAAGAACCAAAAAGCAGAAAAACGTGAATGAACAAGGGGAGAAAAGGGAAATATTTCGAAATGAGGCCATTTCTTTTCCATTTTTATTCTTTTTCAAGCGTTGCCTCACTTCTATGGAAACTTGTCTGAAAGAGTTGGAAAGAGATGTAAAAGGAAACGATGAATGAGCAAGAGTTTTCAGAAGGCTTTCAGAAAGTTTTTGTAAGTTGTTTTTTCTTTTAAAAGACAAGAAATTGAGTGCAAATTTTAACTGAAAGCTATAACTTTCTTGAAAAGTTATAGAAAAGCTATAGCTTTTTCTCTAAAACATTCTTGAAAGAAGTTTCTTGAATGGTTGATTAACTTTAAATTGACTGATTGACTTTAAAACAGTTGATAAACTGGGAATCTAACAAAAGAATTCATTTTAATCTACTTTAG